TTGTCGGTGCACTAATCGCTATCTTACAATGACATGGTGAATAAAATATCCTTAATTTTTGCAAAGGAGATGATTGATTCTTGAAACAATACGATCAGAAATATGTAATAATATTTATCTTTCAGTGGCTTGATTAAAGACATACTATTATTACTATAATGGCTTATAGGGTTTCTTCTGTTGATGGTACATCTCCAACTCCGGACGATTCTGTAATTGGTTTTGCTATCAAAATGGATATGTCTCCCTCAATTACACTATAAACAATGAAGTAATTTAATCCCAGGCGGCAGCGGTCTCTCATACCGACTCCAATTACTTCAACTACAATTGTCTTGCTGTCGTAGTAACGACACTTTTCATCCAACCCGCATTGGTCTCCTCGTTATAGCTTTGACGCATTAAACATCGTTAAATTGCCTTTCAATCAGAAAACATTTTCCATCGCAGGATTGTAAGTTGTAATTTGTCTGGTCGTTATGGTTGATTCCGCGATGGATTTGGCAATTTAGGGACTATGTAATGGTGTTAGGGAGTGATCTTGTCTGACCTTGGCAGGAAGAGAGAGTTGGGGGTGATAGAGAGAGAGAGAGAGAAAGGGGAGGGAGAGAAAGAAATAGAGTTGTGAAGAAGGAGAGAGCTTAGAACGGTTAAAGGAAATGGAGTGAGAGTTCCTCTTAAACTGCCCGCAATGAAGGCATTTCCGTAGTTTCATCTTTTCAAGATGCATAGTTCAATTCACTGACTAGATAATGATATCAAGTCAAATAGCTCTTTGGCCAGACTAGATGATAAATATATTTCCCAATCACCATAAAGTCAACCCAAATGACACGATATCAATTCGGATAATGTTTTATGAGAGCGGGCCTCGGTAATGGGTATTTTTTTGCCAAAGATATAATGGCGCAAAAAGGTCGATGCGGTGCACCCTGAATCAAAGACGTGTCGTCTGTCAGCCCACTGAAAATGATCCATTGTTATGGAATCTCACGTTTAAAAGGAGACAACAATGTAAAAAAAGCTAAAAGAAAAAATTCTCAAACACTTTTTTGTTCATGTTGCGATCTGTTTGTCAGTTATACACTGTGGTATAAACAGTTGTGATTGGAGCCCAGTAGTGCTCTCAACGTACGTTTTAAATCTCTCGGTTGTTTCCATTTATGATATGCTATTGTGCGAAATGGCTGACATATACAATGTTGATATGTCTTAGAGTAAACCATTACATGTAGATACTGATAGTTTTTGGGTGTTTGGGTGTGTAAACGAGCGCGTGCAGGCGTGAGCGTTCATCATTTCACTTATCTAATGGACATCGTACGTTATTTTTTGATGAACATGCACAAAAGGGATATACTGTTTCCTTCGGGAAGCTAACTGAAGAGCTCATGCCCCAATTTCCCCATGGCCAAGATAAAAGGGCCGCTTTCACATAGGAACTTTTGGTCAGAAATCTGGTCTCGATTTTAAAACTGCTCTGTTCTACTTCAGTTCTGGATCAAATGATGTATTATTGTCCTTTGTAATTTTGCTATGTCTCTTTTCTTTAAACAATTACAATAGCAATATTGCTATGAACTTGCACACATCGTTACTTATCTTGAGTAAAGCCAGACTTCATACTGTGGTATGAATTTTTGTCGCACAGTCGTTCTTACTTAATTTTATGAAGCGTGCCACGAAAAGAATAATCGGATTCGGTATCTTAAATCTTGATACTTATATGCACTGGATTATAGAACATTATTCGTCTGTACCTACCCAATTTACTCACTGCATAACGGGTTTAACGCTAAGACCTATCTATTGTGTGAACACATTTTTAAATCCCAATGAGGTGCGATTTTGCGGGATGCTGTAAAGTTAGGTCTACCTAAAGATACCACTTGCCTTTCAATCATCCAATCACATATCAGATAACACCATGGAAAAGGCTTTATTTCGCCGGCTGTTGAATCAGTTCTAAGACTGAATCAATTTGACGAATGAATAATGTAAATACCTTTGATTACTTGTATTACTTTTGATCAAATATAAAATCAGAATCCCACACAAAAACAGCAAAAAGAGTACCAAGTAAGATTCCATTTCCCGACAGAAATACCATTGTGTGTTCTATCGAGTTCGTCAAAACATATTTCATTTTAATGATAACAATTGGAAGACGGGAGTCGTGAATAATACTTACTTCTGAGGTTATGCCTGATAAAAAGACAGTGGATTACATAATTTTTTTCTGCTTTCCCTGACGCCAGTCTCCTTTCGTTGATGCGTCTATTGAATACAACTAGAGCTCTTGTGCGACTTCATTTCATGACAGAAACGAAAACTTAAAGTGTCATTTGGCGTCTGTAGTAGCAATGGTCATTAAACAGAAGTAATCGAAGACTGATTAACATACGTCATCACATCGTTTATGCGTAAAAAGAATCGACGGTATGGAATCAATGCAAGGGACGTCTTGACAACGACAATTTTATACAGAGCGTCCACATTTTGTATACATGGAGTTTTAAAACAGACCGCTTTATTTATTCACTTATTTTATCATCAAACTCTCTACCTGTGTATCAACTTTTCATTGATCTATTCACTCTTTCTAATTTACTAATTCATCTTTGTTTATGTGCTTATCATTCTGTTTCGATCCATTCTTTCACACACGGCACTGTAAACAATTACATTATCTTGATAACTATTGAATTCCCATCAGTCCAATCCACCCCTCTCCTTTTTGTTTTAAAATAAGATTTCCGCGCTATTTATTCCATCAATTACATAAATTAATGGTGAAAATGCACTTCATTTAAAGCTTAAATATGTTGTGTATTAATAGTCGTTGACAAGCGTGTCAAATGAAAACAAATGAGTATGTCATACATGTATATATATTTTTCCTAATCAGTGTTGGAGCATGCACAGACGATCTAACGGCATTTGGTTGTATTCAGTTAATGACAAACATGAAGCCATAAAGTGTCCTTTGTTGAACGAAGCCGTCTAAAAGATACAACTCTCCTGTCCTTTTTATTCCTTTTTTTTCACTTTCATCTTACGACAGACTGAATGACCAGTTCCTCGTAAAATGTATACAAACCTTACAAACCAACAACGCACTCAGTCTAGTAAACGACCAACACCAATTAAGAAACGCCAGAAATTGAACAGAGGTTATACCGTAGATACAATATCCACCCTTTCCATAAAACAGCTTGAAAGTACCCATAACATTCAGTTGGTAACCGCACTTTGTTGTTTGGGTCTGCCTGTCACGTTCTATTGCAGGACTGACAGATTTGGGTCTATTTTTGGCATGACCCCTGCAGAAAGAAACTTTTCTTAAGCTTCACAGTGGGTATATGTAGCACATGGAACTTTTTTTTTTGGGGGGAGGGGGTATTGAAATATCATATGAAATGTGATTTAGTAATGTAATGTACATGTATTTATATATATATTGAAATGCAGCGTGATTTTCCAACAGATGTGAGTTTCCAATATATGCTATGTAGAGTGAGATAAACCCTACAGTTGAAATAGTTTAAACCATAAAAGCGCCCGCTGAGGTGCCAGTTGTATGTTGACCCTCGTGTGCATTTACGTCGAAGTATTTTTGAGGCCAAACACCATGTAACACTTCATCATCTCATTTCAAAACAGATGACAATAAAAACTTATTCGATCGGGCGCATTTCCACCCCACGGTTATTAAATTCTGAGCATGCCTGCAAGTGAGAATTAATAAGTTGCATTAAGTTATGACGCAATCGTGACGTCTTAATTTTTGACGTAATGGTGCAGATCGCTTCCAATTAATGTGCCTACATATGACAGTGGTAGTAAACATACAGTGTATAGGTGTCTGCACGATCACTTATGGTACTTGAAAACAACGTCCATGCACTCTGATTGACGGCGGGAGCACTCACCTTGTTTAACCCTCTGATGTAAGAAGGCTAGGCGAAAGTAAGAAGTGAAATTAATGGCTTCGCGAAAACATACGTTGCATTTATACGGCATCAATTTACGTAATATGCAAAGGTCGTCTTTCATAAGCTTCACTGGCTCTTATGAAGCAATACTGTAAATATGTTTCATTTTGTACAGGTCTGTAGTAGAGTATCACTGCCTGAGGACTGCTGCGTGCAGCTTCTTCGCTGACTTGAGCCTAACTGAGATTGTTGGATGCTGAGGGACCGCAACTTTTTCAGTGGCAACATCAAGCACTTCATGGGTCTGCTAGGCCGTTAACTAATCAGTATACCAACACTTCTGCCTCACTTCTAAACTCAGATATGATCAATTCAGCGAAGAAACTATAAGAGACAGTTTTCAAGAATAAAGATTTACGAGAATAAACTATTTTCATTTTCATTGTTAGCAAAGGTATTTTATGGCTATATACGAGTTACGTTAAAGTCCCATAACAATGTGAAAAAGTAAGACTCGCAATTTGAGCATTTCTTTGCTATTCAAATTGGATTCACAATGCTTTTATAAAGCAATAATGATAACCGACAATGCATGTGACCCTAAAGTCGTTTGATAAGGTACCTGTTGTAACACCGCCAGGTTGACGTGGGGTTGTTTCATTATTTTCCTTCATAACTAGAACAATTAATCAATCCATCAATGGCTAATTCTCACAATTATGGTCCGACATCGTAAGGTTTCCACGGGATTCAGCTATGACAACGTAATCTGAGTGTAACGATAATTTTGTCTGAAACATGGCAAACTTGGTTCAATATTGCTGTACATACTTTTGTTGCAGAGTAAGATATAGTAAATTACATTTGTAAGTTATGTTTGACGGATAGAATCCAAGCTGTCTGGTCGTTTGACGGAAAACAGATATGCTATATGCCATATATTGTGCGTAAACATGTATGTACACTAATTCACTGTAACGTCTCATCACAGTAGTAGAAATACGCATCTGAATAACCTTGTACATTTCACATCAGCTAATGAAACTTTTTTTTTTCATTTTTCAGAAATAACAAGACCTAAGCCGTTGCTAATCATCTTAAACAGGGACACAGAATACTGAAGAAAAAAGAGAGGCAGATCATTCTCCCCAGAACGCTTCACCCACGTGCATGTTTTTATCTTTTAAGAACTCCTGGAAAGAGACTTAGCAAGCCACGTGAACAGATTCTGGAACGGATTCAAAAGATTTGAGAGCCTTTCAGAGTGCAACTGAGACGTCAAATCTCTATACAGGGTGCCTACGCGGCATTATTTCTCTCTTTTTACGACGTTACTGACGAAGTAAAAAGTAAAATTTATTCCATACTGGAACTGAGTGAACGACAGATTATAATTACGTAGGAAGCATTGACGGCACACGTGTCTTGGGCGTCACGTGTTCAAAGGATAAAGAGAAATATCATCGCGGTCAACTGATTTTAAGATATTTATGGCATTGACGGTACTAGGCGCCATACGTGAAGGAATTTAATAGGAACACTCGCCTCTGCTTATAATTATTTGCAAAGAATACTTCAACAGAAACTGAAAAGATACTGAGAAAGAAAATAGCGGAGTGATTATTGTAAGTACAACAGCAATAGGCTGTAACTATTACGCTCCCTATGCCGCCACGTCTAACCCGATAGTTGTACTTGTAGGCGTCAAATGCGCTGACGCGTGTTAAAAAACTAGAACACGTCCACTGCGGCACTAAACAGCAGAACCCAAACTGCGTAATCTGCTCCAAGCTGAGACATATAACATGGGTGATTCCAGTTTACGGAGTTGATGCTGAACTCTTGGTAATTCTTTCGATTTCCGCCTCCCCGCCATCATCGGCCAACAATCTCAGAGAACTACATAACATAAAATCACTTGACATTTCGACGGCATAAATTCTCTCGATTTCCTGACAACATTTCATTGGCTGTAATCAGGCTTATCGGGAAAGGAGCTTGGTTTTCTGAGTAATGATTGGAAGAAGAGGAAATCTGGGCTCGACTGTGAGGTCTTATTTAAACCGCAGTCACTAGGAGTTTTGTTCAATGACTGGCTGACACCCTTTTCTCTTCGCGTGAGAGACAGACAGGGTTACTTCACGTGGGGGAGCACCCAGGAGTGCCACACAGAACAGCATTTCAGGGAGGAAACCGTGAAGGAAGCAATGGTTTCCGAGCGAGCTTAAAAGCAGGTGTGAAACTAACAGTGATGCATCATTATTAGCAAGTTACTACCGTGATTTTGCTTCTGAGTAACTCTTCTTCGTAACTCATTGGTGAATTGACAGTTTGCTTCAATGTTATACCCTTTCCTCAAAGCACATGCTATAAATTAGCCACTGATGACAGGCCCACCACTTTGTTAAAGGAAAAGTGTAACATCTATCACCAGACAAGAAAAAAGTGGAAGGGTGTTTGAGACACTGATTTATGGAAGATTTCTTCGACGTTCTTGTAATTCAGTGTTCTGCAAGAGACTCTTAACGATACACAAAGGACCAACACTTCAGATTATAAAAAAGCAGGAAAAAAAACAACAGTAATAAAAACAGTCGAAATGGATTCAGTTAAATACAAGCAGATGACGAACGATTCAAATGTGACTCTTTCTGGCACGTTTCTCGACGAGAATTCAACTAGCATCATGGACGCTTCCAATTTTTCTTCAAATTCCACAGGCAGTGGTCACGGGCTGCAGGGTGGACTGATGCATTTCTCAGAAGTTTACAAAAACATTCATGGCGGACTCGCAGTGACAATTTGTATATTTGGGATCGTGGCGAATATATTGAATATCATAGTGTTGACAAGAAAAAGTATGCGGACGTCCACGAATTTCATTCTGACAGCCTTAGCGGTGTCCGACGGCTTAACAATGGCGGCATATCTTCCCTTTGCGCTCCAATACTACTGTGTATACGGTACAAACCCCAGCCTGGAGCGAGATACGCTGGCTGCGGCACAGTTCTTGTTGTTTTACGCTAATTTCAGCGTCACAGTTCACACGGTGTCCGTCTGGCTCACTGTTACCCTGGCCGTGTTCCGCTACCTGTACATTGGCTGGCCGCGACACGGTCAAGTCCTCTGCAGCATAGAACGCGCCAAAATGGCGATCGGACTGAATTATTTCCTGTGCCCTGTGTTCTGTATACCCAATTATATTACCCTCGGGATCTCCAATAACAGCGGCTACTGGGGGGTGGAGACCAAGTCCGAGCCTGCCTATCAAATGACCATCCGGACTTTCTACTTCTGGGAGCACGCTTTTCTCTTAAAGCTCATCCCGTGTTTTATTTTAACAATCATGAGTATATTGCTGGTCAAAGGGATGAAAGATGCGGAGAAAAGACGCCTGAAACTCGGAGGCCACAACCAAACCAACAACGTGAGCCGGATGAACCAGAACGTCCGCGGCAAAAAGACCAACCGTACGACCCGGATGTTGCTGGTGGTCGTCATCCTCTTCGTCATCACTGAACTACCGCAGGGGATTCTAAACCTCATCTCTGGCCTGGACAGTGAGGTGTTCCAAAACGTTTACACCCCTCTTGGTGACTTAATGGACATCATAGCGCTGACCAACAGCGGTATTAATTTCATTCTGTACTGTACAATGAGTAAACAGTTCAGAACTACTTTCATCGAACTGTTCTTTAAACCGCTGCAAGACGAGGCCAGAAAGTTCACCATCGTGGCGACGAATGAGCTCACACTGGCTGGTGACGGAAGTTCCGATGTATGACGTCATATCGTGACTATTTTCCGATAAAGGTTGCTTACATAGCACATCCAAAAGGGGGTCATATGACGTCAATGGTGTAATACACATGTCGTCTTTTTAAACCTCCAGATAGTCTATGAAGATAGCGTGACGTCATACTCAGACGTTAATTATTGACGACACTTAAGAAATGTGACGTTGCATTTTTCTGTTGAGTTCTTAAAATGGTCCAGAAAATGGCCATTGAACTGTGGCGCCAGGTGGTAATAAATAACAGCTCTGAGTATTTGACTCTGTGTGGTATGCTGGTTGAAATATGTTGTAGATATGACGTCACATTGACTTTGACGTCGTATTGACTTTGATATGTGGCAGAATTGAGAGATATATAGTGGCAATTAGTAAAGATAAAATAAGCCTCAGAGCGTTGCCAAGAAAGACATTTTTTCTGACCCAGTGTAAGTCCTAATTAAAGTCAGAGAACTATAGCTAAATTGTTAAACACAGATCATCGGTTTAAGCACGTCCTTCGATGAAGTGTTTTACGGGAATGCCCGGACGGCAACGACGACAAGTTAAGGACTTGTATCCAGGCTAACATTATTTTAACTTAAAACGTTAAAACCCCCCCAAAATGGTCCTATCTAACCAAAATTGATATGAAATAGGTGAGTGAAAACGATTTGGCTTGCTAAACCAGAGAAGTGGTTTTCGGATTGATATATTTCACATGGGACCGAATTGCTGTATCGGCTAAATCTGGACCATTTCACTGCGTTAAATGTTGAAATCGCAGGCGTCCATTGGGGGTTGTTTGGTGAAGAATGAGAATACAGAAACAAACCTTGTGCAGTTTTATGTCCAGTAAAATTGCGATTAATCGCGGGTTGGTGGGTGGGTTTATAAAAGGGCTGCAGACACTCATAGGGTTAGGTGACAAGTTCTCGTTGTTTAAAATGTTACACAATTGATCACTGTGAATATTGAAAAGAGGAACATATTGTACATTAATGTTACAGTAAAACATCGGCTCGGTTTTGCGTATTTGCATTTGTGTTTTAAAAACTAAAGTGTATGTTGATTTACGCATTATTACGCAACTCTAGAGAGCATTGTCCTATCAGTGAATGTGACTTGGTGCAGTTTATAACACTACGCCTCTCATTGTAAAGTTATTTGTATGTACAAGGTTTGTTCACAAAAAATAGGACATCCCTTATCTTAAGTCGCTGGAGAAAATATTATTTCTTGTATTGTTTTGGTACAATGTATGATTGAAATATTACATATTGTAGTCTCTCTCTCTCTTAATTGCGCAGTATGCATGAAGGCACACGATGATACTCCGCACACCGAGGTTTTCCATTGTTTTCTCTCAATACTTAAGGGTAAATTATCAATGCTGACATGTACTGTTTTTATACGGCTTGGGGATATAGAGTGACCCTGGAAATTAGGTACAAACATGTTAAAAGGTCACTGTAGTACTGAAGTGGGGATTTCATAGGGAATGAGTCTTAATAAACGCCAATTCGTCACTATGTACGGAGTAATATGTAGTCTATATTATGTAATTCAAAGAGTTTGTCAATAAACTGTCTCTGGTGAGAAGCCCCTTTTTTTGTGAATTTACAGCACCTCAGGCCATACGCTGACAGAGTGGTGCAACATTTTTATCACCACAAATGTTTAACCGCCTCCTCCATAATTAATATGGTTATTTTGGGAAGGGTGTATACGCATCGTCGAATATTAGTCGCAAAGTTATCCCAAAATTATATTTGACATCTTGTTATTACATTAACCACCTTCCGCTTTTGTCACAAAAATTTGAACCCCATAGCGATTGGAGTTGTACGAAAATCCACTCCCTGCTCAAGTTTTTTTTTTCGTAAATTCTTTTTAACGCGCAACATTTAATTTTTTTCATAGATAGAACATATTACTACCAAACGCATCCAACTGTAAATCAATATTTAATAAACGTGTTCACGCCCCTTCACCGACTTATCCCTCTACATGCACTCCTACATCTTACAATTCAAGACAGTGAACGCCAACATTTTATCGAGTATTTAAATAATAAATTAATTCAACTTGTTTTTAAAAATATAGAAAATTAATTCCGTACACTTTCACGTCACATGAATTCTCTTTGTTGGGCAGGAATTGTGGTGAAATGAAACACTCTAAAAGACTGAAGCGAGCCTTTGCATACACTGGCATCAGAACGTAAATAATCCAAGTTTTTTTTAACATAAATAACTTGTTTTTAAGTGTGGTTTTCGTCAGGAGTTGATACAAACTTTTCAGAGGGTTTCGCTCTATTTTGTCGACTCTTACTCCATGTTTACCGCAACTTGAACTCCACGTAGCACCGGCCAATTTCTGGGTTACCTCACAGCTATGTCTATTATTTGTCTAGCGAAAAATTACCAATCAAAAGTGGGATTAGAATTGGCATGTTGATGGCCCTTGTTAATCAGATCATACGACATCATTACAGGATAATGTGATAGATTTCCTTTAACATATTTCTTCTTTTAACGTTCGCTTTACATTGCTGACCAGTGGCTATTTACTAGTGGGTACAAAATACTAGCATGGCCGCTAGAACAGACATGAGAGGGCCCATCACACGCACGCACTGAGACTACTACTACCAGTTTAAAAGGGACATAGAAAAAATTACTGTCAAAATTGATAAAAGCAATATATTATACATTACTGTCGGCTCGGTTTTGCGTATTCATTTGCCGGCAGGACGAGTTTCGACCCTTTTTGACTTTGTTTAGGCCTACATGCAGGCTACTAGCCGTCCCCTACCTGATCGGGTTCTTGGCCTGACTTGAACCATGACAAGTTCAAATTAATTTACCACCAACACCTGGTATTGTATTTCTTTCCACTTACGATTTTACAATTCACTGTTATGTCGAATCCATCTCCTAATTAGACCACATTGGAATGTGATAATTTGTTACATTTCATAAGGCATACAGCAGGTGCCTTCACTTACGGGTCTCATGGCACTGAAGAGTAACAATTGAAACAGCCTAGTGTCTGACATTTCAAGCATCATCATATACCTATCTAGACTCGGATGTTATTGTAAGGACAATACTGCGTTTCCGTCCATGATAGATATAATAATTTCAGCTAAGTATTATCGATCTCTGTTATTTTTTTACGATGCAACCTTCTGATTTTTAACTCGTGGTTTATTGGGCATGGCAGGTTTAAGTTAAATTATCACGCTGCTAACGATCAGCCGAATAATAGTTAGCGTTGTCATCACATGCTTCATTCATACAGACTTTTAATTGTAGCTATTTCAATATAATAATAATAATAATAATAATAATAATAATAATAATAATTAGAAATAGACTTAGAAGAAGACTTAGAAGAAGAACAATTGTAAGCAAAAAGAAGTTCTGTTTTAATGAATACACTTTGTCCACCGAAGGACTGAGAACACGAAGCACAGCAAACGCAATACGGAGATTAAACATGCCTCATCTACCTCATTCTTAGAACAATCTTCAATGTTTTTAATCCACACCCCTTCTGCATTTTCTTCAAAATTTCAGACAAAAAATTAAACAAAGTTAAATTTAAAACAATGTTATAAACCCCCCTCCCACCCACCTCTTACAGAGTTACAAAAAAGAGGATCATTAGATGCTGTTTTTTACAACTTTTTATCGAGAGAATGCTGTTGATAAATCTACACCTGGAGCGAACCTAACGAGCAAGCATCGCGCATGCCGCCACAAAGATTAAAACCCAAAGACGCTCGTTAGCGGCGACAATTAACCCCATAGCGCCACCTGCCGACTTTTCTTTACAGTGATCTTTATTCTGACCCACGCAAGAAGCATACGCCATCATGTGAGCGATATAATGTTGCTCGTGAAGTGAGTGGAACAGGTGCGACATAGGACCTGTGGCGTAAATGGCGACGTCCTCCCCGCCGTGGGTTTCAGAGTCAAGTTGCACGGCGCTTTGGAACTGGTAACCGGAGTCGTCTGAAATTTGGAAAAAGGGTGACTCTTGCTGTTAACTTCTCACACTTTTGAGGAAAAATTCAATCTAAGGACCATTAGAAAAAAATTAGAAAAAAATATCCAATTAAATTTACGTGAATCATGTAGATGGCATTAAGCCTAGTTATTTGCGTCTACAGCCGGCGCCCTTCTTAGATTATTTTTCCTTTCCTTTCTTTTTTCTTTCATCTCTTTTTTTCTTTCTTTCTTTACCTATCTATCTGTACAACTTTCTAGCATGAGTAAGCTTAACTATGGGCCTGCGTCCTTCTTAGATTATTTTTCCTTTCCTTTCTTTTTTTTCTTTCATCTCTTTCTTTCTTTCTTTCTTTCTTTCTTTCTTTGCCTATCTATCTGGGCAACTTTCTAGCATGAGTAAACTAAACTAGAGGCCCTATCATATACTAGTAGGCCTATAAGTTCTGTAACAGTAGAAGTTGAACTGAGGACGTTGGGAGAGACTTCAGCAATATTCAACGCTATCTTTTATTTATTAAATATTTATTTATTTATTTATTTATTGGGTGAGTGGTTATTTACATTGTAAAAGTCCCTCATATCCGCAACTACAGTATTATGGCTGCTGAGTACGTAAAAACTCACTTGTGTTGATGGGCGCGGGGTCTGGTCGTGGCGCCTCATAGCCCGGACCGTTCGCGTACAGCAGCGATGTGTAGGCAGTGCCATTTTTATCCTTATCCTTGTCCGTTATTCCTGTTGAAGGGGAAAACGTATTAATGTATTGTAAATTCTTCAGAATGTGTTAACCTCTAATACGAAAATGATGATTAAATAAAGACTTATGACAGACTATATGCATAAAAAAGGAGAGAGCAGAAAATCATGGATTGAAAAAGGTATAAAAAGTCCCTATGGTAAAAAGAAAAAAGCAAAGAAAGAAAGAAAAGAAAAAAGATAAAAAACATTACAGAAAAACAGATACAGGGATCTTAAGATAATTTAAGAAGCAAACGAGCAGTAAAAAATGCAATTCCATTTTTAATAAGCCGAACGAAGCGAAACAAAAAATCTATGCGCCCTCCCTTTTGCCGAGATTCTTGATGTCTAGATAGGCCCTACCAGTGAATTCGGCACCCGTGCTGCCACCTACCGGTACTCACCCAGTATATTGTTCCCCCTTGAAGCATATCCTCCAATAGTGAACACGTGCGAGTGATCAGCCGTGACCACTATCAATGTGTCCTCTGTATCGGTCAGTTCTAGGGCCTTAGTGACTGCCTTGTCCATGGCTATGGTATCGGCCAGCGCCTTATGCGCCGTGCTATTGTGATGACCATGGTCTATTCGTCCACCTAAGGAGAAAACGGGGTGCTATGATAGCTGCAATAACTTGTGGTATGTAAGGCCTAATATCAAAACGTTGCTTTATCATCGTAACCAGTTTTTTTCCTGCGATGAACATCATTAAAATGTCATTAAAATGTACTAAAATAGAATGAAATCTATGTTTTTGTTGTTTGTGTTTGAAAAAGTACCAAAATATTCGCGTCTGTCTATTTCATCTTACCAAAAACATAATTAACCTTGATAAAATGACATCATGGAATGTCCGTACCTTCCACCAACAGGAAGAATCCCTTTGGGTTTTTCCGCAGCATTTTGATGGCTTTTTCTGTCATTTCAGCTAATGACGGCTCCTTCGCCTTGTTTCGGTCTAATTCGTACTGCATATGACTTGGTTCAAACAAACCTGTGCACAGTGAATTATTTGTTTATGATTAGGAGCAGATCGAGTGTCATTATTCAACAGAAATCAACATGAGATAAGTTGCACTGATAAAGGTAATAAACCACATAAGGAAGGGAAAGTTTAAATATTTAACCATGCATAGATTTACGCACACTGCATGTACATGCACATATATGTATCAACGCTGCTATTGAAGAAAAAACCTTAACATGTGCACCAGTGCTTGAGGGAGTTAGCTGTACATCACTTGATTTTGAGCGTCTTACAGCGTGATTACAATGTATAATACACTTGAAACTGACTGCAACTTTACAGTGATTAGAGTTTGGTGATGATTTGAGATCCAGATTTAGTGTGCTATACACTGGTACCAATGCGCATCTGCGCACCCAAGTACATGTATATGTACAGCTTCAAAATGCTCGACATGATTTCAAAAATACGCATGTACACATTCCATGTTAACTAGATACTAATAAGATGCCCATTCCCTGTCGTGAAAAAATTAACGCGCACTGCCACGATTAAACGCGCAGACGCGCGCGTGCGCCTTAGTATCTTACCCAATAAGTAATCTGTGCCTATCGGGTCAACGGCCTTGAACCCATCTAAGTTCCAAACATAACGTGCCCTTGACGGCTCCTTTTTAGATTTCGACCAGTCCTAAAAATTAATTATATAAATAATAATTATATAACAAATTAGAAGTACTACTCAAGAATATCATCTAAATGATACCGGTAAATATGCTGAACGCCTTGTAGTCAGACTGGCCACCTCCGGAGCGGGAGGACGCTGTACACTCAGCATTAACGGGTTGAAGCGCGGGTAAAGTTCCTGGTCTGGAAGCGGCAGATATTGTTCGTTTTCTAGTATTCAGCGCCCCATACGACAGCCGGGCTGTACATGTGTATACTCCCCAAGGAGGCCGAAACATCAACACCCAGTCTATATCAGAACCAAAAATGATCAGGCGTCTAAAGTAAACCACACTGAGATGCGGAAGGCGGTATACATGTATAACAACTAAAATTAAATACATGTATAAGAACTAAAATTTACTTTACTTTTTGCATTTTTTTTTTTTTTTGGTGCAAAGGATGTGTCGCTTTTATTTTAATTCAACAATTTAAGTAAAACTCTCTCTCTCTCTCTCTCTCTCTCTCTCTCTCTCTCTCTCTCTCTCTCTCTCTCTCTCTCAACCAGTAAACATTATCTAGAAGCCTATCATTACCAGTACATTGCGGGCGTTTGACATATTCAATAGATTTACCTCAATCAAATTCCTGCCGTCCACCCTGGAGCCATTTTTACCTGGCCATTCAGGGTCTGCTGTTGTGTTGGGTAAAAACTTACTTCGTCCACCTCCTAAGATTACCTGTAAGGAAATAAAGGTGCGCTCACAATGGAGCTATCGTACTCGATTCAGCGCGCTTACACCACAGGGACTTTCGCAGAATGCAGCCAGATTAACGGATTAACTACTGGCGCAACACAGTTAATGGGCTCATTAAGCTCATTAGTAGGAAACAGAAATGCTGGTGATTATACGAGTATGTTTGAAACAAGGGGAGGGGTTTTAAAAAATAGTAAGTAGATTATTCAACGTTCGCGGTGAACTTATCTCACAGAGAGAGAGAGAGAGAGAGAGAGAGAGAGAGGGAGAGAGAGAGAGAGAGAGGGTGGCTTAAAACGTACGTTTAAAAAAGAACCGTCTTCACCGACGAGCTGTGCGGCGATGTCAGAGCAACCAGTGCGAGCGCTTTCCGGCATATCAGCGTCCGCCTCCCAGTTCCTGTCAGCGGAGTGTGCGTACCCGGATGCTGGCGTGGCATGGGTGACACGGGCTGTGCTTACCACACCTGTTGATTTGCCTGAAAACAGATAAATAAATAAATAAATAAATAAATAAATAAATAAAAACACACATACACACGTACATACACACACATACACACGGGCACACACACACACACACACACACACGAAAAAAAAAAAGATTTAAATAACGAAAGAAATGGACAAATGAACGAACACAAAAGCATTCATTGTGTTAGTTGTGATAGTTGTGGTAACGATTTCTGAGGGTGCATTCTTCATTGTAAGCTTTGATTGCGACTTCTTTGTTGCTCCAGTAAATAATACACCAAGTAGAAACGGCTTGGTTTTCAAAACGTGAGAAAAAGAAAACGGCGAAGAACAAGTATAGATCTACGGCCTATAGAGCTACAATAAAAATAAAAAATAACACAAAATAAAGGAAAATAATGATCCCTTCATTAGCACTGAGGTCTAAGACTTCAAATGCATTTTCCATATCTTTCGAGAATCTACACTATACTTTCTGCAATCTACATACAACCAACGCCTGTCCCTTGACTTTAACGTCAGCCTGTTTACCTTCGGAGTTCGACCATTTCAGTATAGAGCTGATGGCCCCGCCCTTTTCGGACGAGCAGTTGCCCCTAACAGCGCGGTCGTCCAGACCAATAAGCCCTGACTTGGTTTTGGCGCCACACAAGAAGGCGGTTGCCGTTCCCGCCGAGTCCGCCGTCTGCCGGTCCGTGTTGTAGGTCTAAAAATGGCCCAAAGGTAACATTAATTTCAAAGATGAACAAAATGAAAAGAAAAGGAATAAAATAGCAAGCGAGTGAACGCACCAACATATTTGAATGGCTGGACATATATTTCACAATTTATTTATGTATGCTGTAAAATTATCGTTCCTCCATATATTAAACAGAGAGAGAGAACGATTGTAAAGCCTACATTCGCCATAAACTCCAGAAATGTCTATGCAAAGCATTCAACGCCCTTTCAAAATGCTTTGTCACGATTTCCAAAGGTCGGCTTTTGAATACATGTAACTAAAGTACATGTAGTCAGTGATAACACATGCATTATGTACAGATAGAGAGGAACCTGTTGGCAGAAATGAGTTCGGTTTGTAAAACGTTACATGGAAGAGAAAAAGAAGACGACAAGGAAGATTAAATCTACAACTTTAACGCCTGCTTGACTAACAATTAATACCTTCGCCAAACCAGCATGCGGGAAGCTTTCGAAGGCCAGAGTCCCCTCCTCTCCCGGTCTTCCTGCTTGCTGTCCTTTATATATCCTGGCGGCCGTCAGGGTGGACACGCCCATTCCGTCGCCTAGGAACAAGATGACATTTTTGGCAACGTTGGTGTTTGGCTTCGTATTAAGCGCCTTCTTCAGTTCTTCTTGCGCCAGCTTATACCAGTAGTCCTTCACTGAATGAGATAGATAATGACCTACTGAGTGTTTATATTTAAATTTTTTTCACACAAAATGTCTCTGACATTATTTTTCTTACTCAAGAATTATTGCTGTAAGCATCAGCGCTGTTTAATTGGTTCGATGTTTTAGATAATTTCTAATTAAATAACATACATGCAGTTTTAAATGAATGGCCACATGTTAAGACTACCATACAAATCACAAATAAAACTTAATTCATATTTGATTGTAAATATGAGTTGAAAATCACGAATCATCGGGCATAATGAATTCGTTTCACAAAGGACAAAGAATAATAAAAAGTCGTATTCACGAGTAACGGGCATGGGGTGCTTCACGGATCACGTTGAATTATAGAAACGTTTCACGCATCTTGCGAAATAAAAAGTGGCTTTTTTTCAGGGGCAACAAAAATACCCCATGAATACTCTTTTTTAATATAATATGCTATGTAGGCCATACGCGCCCTTGGGAGTGCTTATCTTTGTTTGCTCACGTTTTCATCTCAGTTCATAGATTGGAATAAGTAAACAGAAACAAATGGAACAAACAGAAGCTTAGTACACGTGTACGTCATCAAGGTTTTTGTCCCCCCCCCCTAGAAAAAATACCTTATCGTTCACGTGCGTGAGCGTAACGCATGTTTGTTGGTTTGACACCTACATGTACCACTATCATAGATAAACAGAAAAAAAAACTGTACGAGAACTTTGTTCAGATTTAAACAGAACACATTACCCAGTGACAAAGCGTATGATACTGATACCAATGCAATAATTAACTTTAGTGCACGCTCGGCGCCCCTAACAGCTTTAGAAGGCGTGACAGATATTTGAGCTGCTAAAGTTGACAGCAATTTAGTGAGAATCCCCTTGGAGATAGATCGATCCAAAGTTAGTACGAAAGTCTCTGGGAATGGTCTCCTAGATCGATCTAACAGGATCGATCCATCTCCGAGAGATTTCTCGCTAAATTACTTTCAGCTTAAGCGGCTTAGATGTCTGTCACGCCTACTGAAGCTATTAGCGATAATTAATTACTCCCTAGCAGCTTCAGTAGGCGCGACAGATATCTAAGCCGCTTAAGTTGATTGCAATTTAGCGATAATCCCCTCGGAGATGGATCGATCCACAGTTAGTACGATAGAGTCTGAGAATGGTCCCTCAAACGCAGTCCAAAAGAATATGCGAAACTTCCAGTTATCAGAGCAAAAAGGTGACACAGTGAGGGCCAAAGTGTCTTTACGAGACATCAGTTGAATACATGTTGCTAACGTAATCAGTTAAAACTGCGAACTAATAGGGACCCAGGCTGTGTTCAAAATAGCAGTTATCGCACTACATGTAGCAGGACCGATCTATCTCGGCGGGGATTCTCGCTAGGGCGCAGTCGATGTAATCAGCTTAATGTCTGGCACGCCCCCTTGTACTGGAAGCTTTTAAGTACTTGGGTAAAGTCGGGAAAACTTTGCAGTCCATGAAGTTGTTTATGTTGCTTTGCTAAGGGGAGTGCCAGACAATTAAGCTGATAATAATCCCCCCCCCCCCTTTTGCCTCTTAGGTTCATGATTTACGCTTGCAAAAATCTCCAGATCGTAGTAACTCATGTATATGTATAAATGAGAAAAATCGAGTATTTATTTACATCCAACTACACTAAAGCGCTGCACAATGTCCTGTAGACCTATTTTTTTTGTAAATTTTGCACATGATCATATATATACATGATCATATATATAATAGACATGTAGGCCTAGTTGACTAGGCATGAAGACTGAAAAATACATGTAGCAGAGGCTAGCGCTTATACGAATATTGCTAGAGAATTTCGTTTATTTTCTATGGTTATGCAAGATGGGTATTTCTTATATTATTTATGATTACTATGCAAGTTATTACACGTGAAGTACTTTTCTCGACTCCTTTCAAAATGGGTGACCAGCTGGACTTCATGCGTGTCGCAATACATGCTAATTCTTAGTAAACACATTTATCACATGACACTTTGCCACTGAAGGCAATTTAACTCTGATTAAGTAAATATGTATAACATAAATCTCTGTCTGCAGATATACTAAAGTAGAACATCCCAATTACCTCATACTTCAAGCGATGACTCAAGTATTGACTTATGATTAGATATACTCTATAGTGTACTTGTCACTGATGACTTCCCTTCAATGGGGTTCCTGGTAGCAGGCCGTAATGTGGCCCATATAGGACCAGTGTGGGTTACTACCTGGTTCACAGTGGGCAGGGATGTGGGTGCTTTGTGGCTCCCAACAATTTAGACCTTTCAGGACCTCCGGGGGTCAGGGCATATGGCCAAAGTTACACAGGGTTACCCCTCCAGACCAGTGGCGAGTTTAGAGGGGGGGTGTCCTGGATTCGTCCCTGCTCCAGACCATCTGGGCTGGCAGATGCGCAGTGCTCGGAACCAGTTTTTCTGTAGCTTAATAACAGTCCATATTTGACGTTTGAGAATTCTTCGGCCAATTAAACCAAAGTCAACGGAAGCTTTTACACTCCAGTCTACGCCCAAATGGGCCAAGTAGGTCCCGCACTGAGTTTTAAATAATTGTTTAAAATATATCGATCATTTCTTCCAGCGAATAAACGGCAGTCTGTTAAAATGGAAGATTGTTGCACAGTGAATATTAAAAAAGAATGCCGGCAAGGGTAACATAAGGATCAAATATATGAATAAATAAATAAAGAAAGAGAGAAAAAAAATTATTTACCTTAAGGACCCACACATAAATCTAATTAAACCCCAGTAAGACAGTAGGCCTATATTTGTCCAGTAAGTTTAAATATAGCTCCTTCTCTGCAGTCGGCCCTATAACACAAATGACGTGGAGCATGTTTCAGACCCGTGCCAGTTTCTGTTCTATTTATGTGGACAACCATGTGGCCCAGAAGAACAAATTTTGATCTAAAATGTTTCGCACTGTAGATAAGTAAAATTATTTTGTGAAAACGGACCGCAATGGCCGTAAAAGGACGAAGAATACTTCAAGGTCCGTAGACAGCAATTTCAAATGGGGAGTTGTTTTTCTGCAAAAGTGGACCTTTTGCCATAAATCCTTTGTGTACCTAGATCATTTTTTTACCCAAAGCAGACTTTACCTGGCAAAAAGGGCGGTTCGCTCAACTCCCTCCAAGCTCCCCCTGGCTACAGGTCTGACTATGCTCCCTGTACAAGTATTTTAGTCATCAATGACTACTGGTTTCAGAAACTTATCTATTGCAAAGCAATTATACTCATCTGAGAACAGTTACTATAGCGACTGTCCATGACACTTACACTGAGGTTCAAGAGCTTCTTGCGTTCCCACCATCAGAAGCAGGCACCATACTACGAACCATCCATTTAAAGGCGCCATGTTCTTTTAAAGGACCCAAGACGCAATTTTTATCTCTCCAGAGTACCCTTGAGGCCGAACAGGCTTTATTTGCTGGGATATGTCCACGAGAATCCGGTTCCTTTTACACCTCGATGGTCAAGTCAACGTGCCCGCTGTGAAAAGCCTTTTGCTCCTGTTTTTGACCACCAATCCTTACTTAGAGATGTTTTCAAGTAAATGTAATATATGTATGGTCAGATGTATCAACCGGGTTTCTTGTCTCGAGGTTTGTCTAAGATAGATGAGCTTGTCTAAGATAGCTGAGCTGGTCGAAGATAGCTGAGCTTGGTGCTATCAACAGAAGTCCGCTTGCCACAAGACCAAACACACGCAGGCCATATCTTAATGCCATCAATTCTATCGGTCCCCGTGTCAACACAATGCCAATAAGAAGTGTCAACATACCCTGGCTGCACTGAATACGTTCACCAGTCACCTATTTAGGGCAGGAAAAAAGTTTCTCTCTCTTATCAGTAGCTCTTGATATAGAAAAAACGTAAGTGATACGTGTAGGTATTTCGTCTGTTGATCGGTCATAAGATGTAGGGGCCACTCAGAATAAAAGATCCGAGTATCAACTGGTCCAAAGCTCAAATATGGCGGACCCTTCATGAAAAGAAGACCGCTTAATCCTGTAATGGTTTATCGCCCACTCACAGGCCTCTCCATACGCCTGATAGAATGGAGCCAAGATTTAAATACTGTGCCCCTGTAGGGACCCGATTTCCTTATACTCAGGCTAACCCTTACGCACCTATGCATATACTAGTACAGTATCAAAAGGCATAATAACTTCGGAGGGCATATAAAAGAGGGATAATGCCATGCTCTTAAAGAAATTAAAACAACGGGAAGTCAATATACCTTGAATTTCAGAGTTCTATAATAGTGGAATCCTTTCTGAACTGGCACCAACACGGACTGTCATTATTAATGTATATCTGGATCCATGGACTCGACTTGGGGTGGCGCCAAATTGCGTCCCTGACACAATATGCAACACGCAGAACCAAAACGTGATGTCAAATAAATGGTACAGATCTGCTGTGGGCTGCTTTTATTTGATTCTGCATTGTTCTTTGTGCTTAACGGCGGTGCTGGATGTGCCACTGTTAGATTTATGTAAAGGGAGCAGAGATTTAAATAAAAAAAGTAAGCAATAGGCAATTTTACTGTAAAACCTACACTTTCTCGACTCGTAATTTATCATATTTTGATTTGTTAATGTAATCTGTACAAAGAAACATGAAAGGAATATTCATTTGTATGTTTTCCTGATGTTACGAATATTATTTCATTGTCCCCGAAAATATTAATGACTACTCGTTTTACTAGCATATTTTAGATGGGAAATGATGATTACATGTACGCAGCATTGAACCTGATTACGTATTTCCTGTGTTGAAAAATATTGTGTATTGTTGAGAGTTGTACAGCAGAAAAGCCGTTGGGTTGCGAATATATTGTGAATACGTATCCCGTTTAGAAATGGTCTATTTTGAAAATCCGAGATGCAGTTAATATTCCTACTACAGTCAACAGTGCATACGGAAAAGAATAACACGGACCCAGGTTGTAGCACCAACAGAATATATTTGACTGAACTATATGAAATATACATGGTACATTTACAATAAAGGTCTGTTAAGAACTTCAATCCAAATTTCTCCCTTTTTTAGTATTGCTGAAATCTTTATGTTTAACTTTATCAATTTAATACAACGTCAATCAGAAAAATCATAAACTGATTGGTATACATGTAATTACTTCAAACCAAGGTGGACACAAACACAAGAAATCCTTCCAATGTACATGCACTTCTAAAAGATTACCAGGCTTGACACAAGAACAGTAAAATTATTACTTATAAGGTGTGAAATATTATGTAAGATTGATACCAAGTCCGGACAGTCAATCTACAAGCGACAGCCAGCCACCATGAGGGATGCTATGCAGCTGGCTAAGATGCACAGGGAAATGAGGGTCACCATGGAGAGTGCTGGCAAGAAGTTGCGCCACCGGGGCAAATGGGCCAGCCACGGTGGTACCCTAAGAGGAAAGCTCTAGCTACGAACTGGCGCAGATAATACGCACCATTCGGGAAATGGAGAGGGCATCAAAAGATGTCCGCCAGGAGCTCAGTAGACAGCCAGCCTAACTACTGCCCAGGCATCTCACGTAGAGGCCAGGGAGGGAGTGGGCAATGGTGACCTAGTATAAATGGATTTATTATCGTTTAACGTGAATGTGTTAGAGAAGTAAGTCAGGTGAGAAAATGAGTTCATAGGGCGGGGAATTTGAGATGCGCAAATTGTGTATTACGCAGTAAGATAAAAAGAATCGTGAGATGAGTAGTTTTCATTCGAGACTGTTTAAGCCACCTGCGTCGGACTGGTGAAGTAAATGGCAAATATGTGACAAAAGAATATTTTAAATAATATCGATAGCATACGAAGAAATTATAAGCCGGTCAAAAATGTAATGCTGTAATGTTAGTAATTGACAGCCATGAGTGAATAAGAAGCGGGGAGTGTTTTGTAGAGTAAATAGAGTTGATTGACATGACTTCGTCGTACTTAAGCGCAGAATATAATGTAAACGACGGAGAACGATGTAAGAGGTTGTAGGGTGATGAAGAAATCGTAGATAACATAGAAAGAATACGAAGGAACATGGAAGTTGTTTGTACTTACCTCACGTAAGCAGTAAGACAAAGTCGATACCTTCGTCACAATGTATATAAGAGGAGGTACAAGAGCGGCCAGTTGCGATAAGTCATTGTATTGAAAAAGGGTATACGTTTTCTGCGAGATATTAGACAATTAATGACTTGTATGGGATTAAGTGAAACGAATAAGAATAGAGGTGCTTTAAGTGCAGCAACCCTGCTCACTTTGGAAGGGAGTGCCCAGAAGTGGGAAAGTCAACAGGGTTGGGGCGCCAGGCCAACCCTCCACAGGCCGCAACAGAGGCCCAGACGTTGAGAATAAGCTCAGTGAGAAACTCAGGGTACCCGAAGTGTCAGTGCTCAGATTTGGGTTGTAAAGAAATCAGGATGTACTGTATCCACGAAGGTACAAGTCACAACACTTGTAGTTACCCAGAAACTCAGGGTACCCGGGGAAATCAGCAGTCAGTGCTCAGGTGAGGGCTGTTCAAGGACCCAGGGCAAACTGTACCCATGAAGATATCTGCAGATACGCAGAAACACAGGGTACCCGAGGAATCAGCAGTCAGATGTGGGTTGTAAAGAACCCAGGGTGCATCGTACCCACGGAGAAGAGTGTAGTGCCTGGGGTCAAAGTGCAAAGAAAGCTGCGGAGATCCAGAAATTCAAAAGATGAGTACGCAGCCGAAATATAAGGTTCTGCAAGAAGGCGCCATTTTGAAGAAATTTCTAGAAATCAGGAGATTGACTTGCCATCCACGCGAGGTCACTCACTAGTTAGAAGACCTGAAAACTCATAGCCTAGGTGCTATACATTATCTGACTTCTCGAATTAGAGAAAACTTCCAACATTTAGAAACTCATTGACACATGTTACACAAGCTTGGGAAATAAGTTAATACAGTAATTCTACTGTTATTCGTTAGAGACCATTAAAATTCTCTCGTGCTGGAAATAATGTTTTTATCCAGAAGTGTTATCTTGTGCACAGCAAGATGGCCACAGAATCCTGGAAAGAGTTTGGATTGAATGTTTCAGAAGAGATGATGCCAACTGCAAATGCAACAGACGTAGACTACTTTTCCTGCTTAAGTCTTTACTGTTGGCCTCTTATTGTTCATAATGCAATTTTGGCCGTCAGTGTAACGGGAGCTAATGATCTCGTTATACTGGCCTTTGCAAAATATAAAGAACTTCAAGAGAAGACAATTTTTACAATCGCAAGCCTTGCCGAAGTCAGTTTTCTGACTGGAACTATTTGCATGCCGTTCAATAGAGTTGCAGCATGTGTGATGAAAAATCGACTTATCCTTTCCGACAAATTGTCTTTTCTAAAAATATACATGAACTTGGTAAGCGTGGTGATTTCTGTGGATCACAAGCTGTTCATTGCATTTGAAAGATACATGAAAATCTGTCGACATATGCGATATGTGACAGTGATAACAGATAAGAAGATTACTGGAGCAATTGCTCTCTGCTGGATTTACCCGATGTGCCTTTCTCTCTCACCATTTATGGGTTGGAATACGTGGACTCCAACTGTGGAATGCGCGGCCCGTTATGTCCAACAGGAATTCGTGACAAAGTGATCGTTCCGCACTACCCCGCTTTGGGGTTTCATGTTGCAATTATTACACGTCAGGAGGTAGAGGATGGCAGTTTATAAGTATATCAACAAAAACGACCAAAAGTGCATTAACACGGACCAAATGATGGACAATTGGATTTAAAAAAAGGTGGAAACAACAAGACTGAAGTGCAGCCGCCAACAGCCGTCAAAGGACAGCTGTCAACATCGAATGGATGTGTTCCTTCTAAGAAACAAAATGTCTTACATTTTAAAAATCTAACAGCCGCTGCAGATTTAGAGGAAGTGCCACCATCGGAGATATGCGATATGTGACAGTGGTAACAAATAAGAAGATTACTGGAGCAATTGCTCTCTGATGGATTTACCCAATGTGCCTTTCTCTCTCACCATTTATGGGTTGGAATACGTGGACTCCAACTGTGGAATGCGCGGCCCGTTATGTCCAACAGGAATTCGTGACAAAATTGATCATTCATCATTATACCCCGTTTATCGTATATTAGCTTTTGGGTTTAATGCTGCACGTATTATACATGTCAGGCGACAGAGGATGATAGTTTATAAGTATAATATCAACAAAAACGACCAAAAGTGCATTAACACGGACCAAATGATGGACAATTGGATTTTGAAAAAATGGAACCAACAAGAATGAAGTGCAGCCACCAACAGCCGACGAAGGACAGCTGTCAACATCGAATGGATGTGTTCCTTCTTAGAAACTAAAAGTCTTACATTTTAAAAATCTAACAGCCGTTGCAGATTTAGAGGTAGTGCCACCATCGGAGATTAACTTACAGGGGAAAGGCAAGGGACAAAAGAAGTGCTCCGAAGCCGCTCCTAAAGCCGTTTGGGTCTAGCCAAAGTTCAAAGACCAACACAAGAGACAAACTAACACACAAAATCAAACAAACAGACAGACAGACGAACAAAAAATGTACTCGATTAAAAAGATTCTAAGATAACAGCAATTACCTTAGTGGCATCGGTGGCCTTTTTTTCTAAAAAAGCATTTCAAATACAACTCATATACTTCGAACATTTTGTTTAACAATAGAATCAGAATTGCACTGACTAGTTCAGTAATAAATCCAATTTTATATGGGATATTGAATAGGCGGATCAGAGTGGCACTTCTTGCTATTCTAAAATGTAGACAGAGTGTTCAGCTGCATGTTTAACATGGAGTTGATGTAGTACTGGGGCTACATGAAAAAAAAAAAAAAAAAAAAAAAATATATATATATATATATATATATATATATATATAATCGAATTTCAAACAACAAATTTAAGTGGAATCAAGTTTTCAGAATTTGAGAAAAGATTGGTAAACTTTGTTCTCACTTTTCTAAATTCACAACAATGATCGGAGCTTCCATCATAAGAAGGAACATACATGTTTCCCCTGATAACACAGGGGCTTCTAAAATAGTACACACAATTTAAGAACATGATACAATATGTAACAGGTAACTAGAGATCCCTGCAAACAATCACTTCTATCACAACTAAAGAATGGCAACTATAACAGCAATAAAACTAAATTAAAATGCAGGATGCATGATGTTGCCACTTTCAGTATCATCTTACTGTAAACATAAAAACAAAATCAATTCACAGGTTAACTGTCCATGGAGCAGAGATGAAATAGAATTAAACAATTTTTTCTAGTTGAAACATCTTTAAAAAATTATAAATAAGGCAAAATAAAAATACATTAATGAAAGCCCACTATAAGATAAAAAGTAAGAGAAAGGAAAACAAACATGCAAGAGCTCTCTAAAATATCAAGTATTTTCTTGACTAGAATCAATCTGGAACTAAATACCACAAAAAATAATGTTTCCAATCCAATCTAATGGGTTTAATTTAATATTGGCTGTAACGCAAAAAGTTCCTTATTGCTGAAAATTGTATACACAACATTTTACATTATCTATAAGTACACAATCAGCCATATCTTTCATATCCACTATTGCACTATAACCTTACTTTGGTAAACAAAATCGTATTGCAAGTCCAGCACCTAATAAAGCAAATGAAAACAAAAATGCCAAAGTTCTTCTAAAAATTAACTGCCCCTTAGACAGCTGCCCATGTTTGATCTCAGGGACTTCTCTGTCAGGTAGGACGGTATAAGGTGACATGTAGCGTTTCTGAGTAGCACACCTACTGCGGGGGCGTCTTGTCCTGGACCGGCTCCGCCTGGTGTGTAATAAAGGCGATGCACTGTCTCTATTAGCCTCCGACTCGCTGTGGTAATCTGAGTACTCTAAAAATGTAAGATGAGCTTCTGGTTAACTTAGTTTCACAACTAGTGTATCCTCTTAAATCGTTCAGTAATGGGATAGTGTTACCAATCTAACGTAAATTACCTTAATACAAAGAATATCTAACTTAAATTACTTCAAGTCATGCTAAATGCTTAGCAAAACAAAATTATCTCCATATAAAGATGTCTCATTGACCCAAACACCAATCTGCCTGACTACCCTTACACCAGTCTGCCTGAATACCAACACCTGAAAACAAAAACACCCACCTGTGCCTATATACCAACACGCCCATTTGTGCCTGAATACCAACACACCCACCTGTGCCTGTATACCAACACACCCACCTGTGCCTAAATACCAACACACCCACCTGCTTCTGAGTCTGACTGGAACCTCTCTTGCACCTGCTGGTCATCACCTGCAGCCTCGTCTATCACACCTGCTCTCACCTGGGCCTGAGGAGATGGACAATAGTTATTTAGTAAACCTCATCTAACACACCTGCTCTCACCTGGGCCTGAGGAGATGGACAATAGTTATTTAGTAAACCTCATCAGGGATGGATGGAAGCCCTCTTCTGAGTATTCCAGATGATGGTCAGAAATTTTCAATTTTACACTGACGGGGATCCAATTTTTGTGGGAAGATGGTCAAAAATGAAGGATAGATCAACACAGATACTGTGGAAAACTGTCTAAAAATATCTCCAGAGCTGCCCCGCTCATGTCCAGAAAACGGAAACCAAACAATTACTTTGCAGGCCCTCTTGGGGCCTGGAAAAGACTTGATCTGCTCCAAAATTTGACCACAGTTTTACGATTAACATTAGACAAGAGTATAAACTGATATATACCTTTAATACTTCTTTATCCCACTTAGTAAAGCACTGGACCACAATAAAAGCTGCCAGGGATTCTACTGCAAGCGCAATAGCAAGTCCCATCCAGAAGCCTTAAAGTAAATGTTATATTTAAATATTTCAATCACCAAATCTTTGACCAAAAATCTATCAGGTCAGAAAGAAAGAATTATATGCCCATAATATAGGTTTCATCACAAATTATAGAACAAAGAATATCAACAGGTTTGAATGTTATTTGTAAATATAAACATGTATGTTTTCCAAAAATTTTAAACTGAATAAATAAAAAAATTTTAAAAATTATCAAATTGAGAAGTGAGTCAGAAAGATGATGGGTACAGATAATACCAGTAGAAAGACCTATGAGATAATAGCAGATAAATATGATGACAGGCCTAATGGACTGTCAATACTTACCTTTCACTGTGAGATCAGTCAGAAAGAGGACAGGTATAGATATAGGAAGGCCTATGATGTAATAACAGACAAATATGATGATAGCACCAATGGTTTGTTTGCCTGCTCCTCGTAGGATTCCATTACAAACTGCCTGGAAAAAAAAGAAAAGAAAAAAACAGAAAATAATAGTAGGATCACATACCAGTGTGCTAAACAGTTTATTTCAAATATTTATGTAATATTTTGAAAAACCAAGCAAAAAAAGGCCTTGTGAAATTATTGGTATGTTCCCTTTTTTTTCTATGCAAATTAATTTATTTTGGTTGTAAATGTTCATTAAGTAAGGGGCATTCCTGGATATTTTACAAAATTATTGCATCATCCTTTTCCTAAACTGACTGAATGTTTTTGCTGCTCACATTTCTACCAAATTACATTCCAAAAGTCAAGATGGCGTCCAAATTATTATTTTATGCTTCTCTAACAAAAACAATGCCAAAAAATATTTAAACAGCATAACGCTGCTAAGATTTTTTATGAGAAATGGCCTGCAATGATTTATTTTTCAAACGGTCCGTTATTCATTTTCATGTAAACATATCATATTAATCACTTACGGCTGTGCCATCAAACACTGTAAAAATTGCCAGTACAGGGATTGCATCTGCTGCCAATGATATCACCTTTCTACAGACAAAAAAATTGTTTTTTAAAAATATGACTGACATGCCTTTATAATAAATAATTAAAAACAAACACTGTCACAATTCTATAAGAGGTAAATGACAGAAAGTCACTCTTTAACTCTCATTTTTAACTTTACTTTACAAGAATGAAATAAAACATAATAAGTTAACTCTATTTAACTCTAATAAGCAATCTTATGATTACTTTTTCCTACATTTAAGTCAAATAATGTCCAGTTCAGTTCTTTTTATAAGATTTCAAACTTCAATAGCTCTTTTATTAAAAAAATGAGTATTTAACATAACCATATGTTAAAGATGGAATACTGAAATCTTACACCTGCCAAGGCCTTTCAGAAATACACAGTCAAATAGCTGGTTTAATTTAATTAATCCAATAATGAACACAGGTTGAAATGCAAGTTAAATCTACTGAGTAATCACAGCCTGTGTAAAATACTCACGGATCATTGGTGAAAGCCAAGGGGAAGTACCACCTCAAAGCCACCATAAGACCAGCCATCACCAGGGCAACCACCCCTTAAAGTAGAGGAAAGAGTTCGTTTTTTTGTATACCACACTCCTCATGCATCTCAGCTTTGTTTACATTCGCCGCCTAGTCAATTTTACCCTGATGCAGACTGGAGTTGACTTTCTCCCCTCCCTGAGGAGAATACAACCAGCTGTGTTACTAATACAAGGCACTGAAAGCTATTGACCAAACAATATCTTTCACTGCCAGACCAGGAACTCTACCCCTGCTTTAGCCCTTTAGTGCTGAGCGCAAAGTGGGGAGACAGCAGGTACCATTTATGTCCCAGGGCGGAGCTGAGCCCAGGTCCGAGGCGAAAACACGATATAGTGCTCACTGATCAGGCGATTGAATTGGAAATTTTTTTAACAGCTGTCAAGAAAAAAAATTGCAGCTTCTGACATTGATCAGCCAATGTAAGTATTAAATGTGAGTTTTAAGTTGAGATCTGTGAGTCTCTAAAGTTGAAATATCCTTTAACTTTTTCCTATCTTAAATAATATCAAAATTGACACATGATTCTATTAAAATGTCCCTATCCCATGCAATTCAATACACTACCTGCTTGGTCCTAAAGATCAGAAAATGTTCACAGAAATTTGGCAGACTACCCCATTCACTATATACTTACACACCATGGAGAGAGCCACTCTGCTGGCTGTGACGGCCCCTGCAGGGTCTGCACCGCCCAGCGCCTGCCCCACTCTTATAGAAGAGGCTACACCAATACCCATTGGGACCTGAAAGACAGGACAGAGAAGGTAGAAACTAGCACAATGTAGCCTAGGTTGTCCCCTTCCCCCCACCCCCCACCACAGTGCTTGTCCCACTAGTAGATTAGACTTTCCCAATACACCCATGCATTGGGATTTGAAACACAGGGCACAGAGCATATAAAGGAGAACAACGGTCTATAAAAGTTTGTTGTACTTATTACTATGGGAATTTCTACCAATTAATTATAGCTACAATTACCAATTTGAAAAGACATGTATCACCGTGAGTGAGTGAGTGACACACATCGCAGGTAAAGTTCTTGGTTTTTTATGCTTGGCATAGTGTAATTTCACTCACCATGTAAACAAAGTTTTCTAATTGGAATAAAATTGATTGAACTCCAAGTTCTGTTTTGCCCACAATACCTACAAATAAAGATTTTATTAAAACATTATAACCCTAACATTATGATAACATAAATATAATTTGTGTCCACTGTCTAGAATTCTTCATTTTCATTTAGTCTTCATTGTAGAAATTGTCTCTATTTCCATTCTAAAAATGGAGTGTTTTGTAAAATTATGACAATTATTGAGTATATCGGAAACAAGGGAAGCGTCAACCTGTCCATTTGATTGCATTCAGCGAGAGTCCCCGTGGAGTTATTTAGCTCTACCTAGTTCAAACATTCCATTGTGAATGCTCTCTAAAGCTAGTGCCTCCTACCTGTTAAAATAGTCCCTATCTCAAAACTCCACCACTCAATACAAATCATCAGTAATCCTGGGACACCCAGTTTGATAAATGTTCCCCAGTCTTCAAAACACTCCCATGTCCAACCTGAAATCATGCTCTGGTCATGTCACCTCTTACTAGTTCAAACATACAAGAAGTTGAAAACTGTTGACTAAATATCATATTACATAATATAGGGGTGGCTTGAGGCTGTCTTCTGCAGCTGGGTCTTTTGGAAGGTTAGATTTTCAAGTTTACACTGACAGGTGTCTAATTTTTTTTTTCTGTTGGAATATGGTCAGAAAAGGAGGATGGACCAATTAACAAAGATAATTTGGAAGACCCCCAGAAAATATCTCTGGATCTGCCCCTGTAATATTAATCTTGGGAGAGTGACCAATTTTCTGGTTAAACCAGTAATGTGTCCACACACGAGAAAAGAAGATCTATCTAATAGTCTGGGCTAAGAATGAAATGCTGCAAGTAAACAATGTTACAACTGATCTAAACACAGTACTGACTGGAAAACCAAATTAGTGCTGCATGACAGCCTCACACAGTATTTTTCTATTATATATTACAATACTGACTATTTCATCTTCTATGAAAGTAAGAAAATGCTCCCAAAAATAATAAAAAAGTATAAAAAAGCAGTAGTAATGAGAGAGAGAGAGAGAGAGAGAGAGGTATTCCAAAAAGCCCTCACCATCCCAAGTGTCTTTGTAGAGTCCACTTCCCCATATATAAGCTAACGTGCTGAATAACATGACAGCATACCCAATAACCTGAGCAATAGCAGAGCCACTGTAAAAACACAATAACATAAGCTTAAGGTGTTTATAAACTTAAGAAGTTGACTTATGACAAAAACTATGGAAAGGCATAAAGGGTAATTCAATCACCAGACATGTAATAATATCACAAACAACTGAAAATGGACACAAAAGCGTTTAAACACATTTTGGAATCCATCATAAAATGAAAATTGTATTTACTTAAATCTGAAATCCAACGAACATGTAGTTTAAACAATTTTGAGAATTCATCATAAAATGAAAATTGTATTTACTTAAAATTGTGATCCAATGAACAAGTGCGCACACACACACACACACACACACACACACACTATCAGTCCATACATTCTTACCGTGTTCCCAGACCAGCCTGCAGCACAAACAACCAGTGACAAGCTGCATTGACTGTATTCCCCACAAGTCCTGTTACCATGGTCGGGAAGACTTTGTTCTAGGAAGAAATCAATAATCATGAACATATCCCTTCATATGAATTCTACAGGCATACTTAGGGTTCATTCCCAATGATACTACTGTTCTATGTAGATCAATCTCTGCGGGGACTCTCGCTGAATACAATCAGGTTAATATACCTCCTCCTGTTTCCAATGTCATATTCATATATGTAATAACCAGCTATTCTTTATTCTATTCAATACCAGGAGGAGGTGTATTTATCTGTTATCTGATTGCATTTCTCCTCATGGAATTAGATCGATCTACATAGAACAATTTTCATTGGGAATCATCCCTTTAAGTGTAGCTGCTTCAGCTTAACTTAGCTCAGCAGTATACAAGAAACTAATTATCTGATCCTAATGAACCACTGAGCATATGGCGTGATTCAGCTGAATAGATTACTTGCAAGCTCCATATAAATGTTACTTGCAGAACTTGACTATAGAGATTTTGTTTACAGTACTATGGAATATGTTTATCAACATATCTTACTTTTATTAATTATTTTTTATGGTATACGAATACTTATAAGTAATTACATTACAGAATTTGGATGCTATAATTCTCTATAATTTACTATGTAGACTACATGTACTAAAAACACTCACTTGATCTTGCAAATATTTTGCCACTATTTCAAATTGGAAATTGAACTGGAACAGAAAAAAGTCACCAGGGCCATCAAATATTACTCCCTTGATAGCCAGTATTCAAAATATTTGCACTGATAAATAATCATACTTTTAGAAAATTTATCCTCACTTCTCATCTTCGGTTGCAACTTCATCAGTAACATAAAAATATCACATGGTATTCTTAAATCTTCATCAATTATACTCATAAATACGTATTCTTATCAGAAGCATATACTGTTACCAGTAATAAATTTATTTTCAGATTCATTCAAATTATAAAACAACTGCTATTTGAATCTAGTAGTGAGTGCCCATGAAAGCAATACTTTTCCATACATATAGTACATGTATATCAAGATGATAGTTAATGCTACTTACAAAAAGTCCCGGGAGAAAATACATGAGATACTCTCCAACCAACCTGAAATTTAAAAAAAAAAAGTCTAAAAATGAAACATGTGCCTTCCTATAATAAAATGAACTAATAATAATAATAATAATAATAGTAATAATAAGCGAAAGTTTTCCTTTTATTTAGAATAACGGCCCTTCAGGGTTTCAAATCACAATTTGAAAGCAGTACCAAGTTGTCAGTGACTGTTAATTTATATATAAATATTCTATTGCTGCTCATTTGCAGCACTATTGCAGCAAATATGCAGCAGGCCTGATATTTTGCTAAGGGTGCAGTTTCACACTTAAATTTACCTGCTAACTTCAGCATCCTGCCCCACTAGAATCAACAGTCTCTCTATGTTAACCCACAGTGCCCAGCAAGGAAAACACAGCAAAGACAGGATTATAACACCTGCAGGAAGACAATATACACATTTCACAGGTATAGTACAGCTACATGTGTTTATTCTACAAAGACAAGATTATTACACCTGCAGGAAGTGATTTACACCTCTCACAATTACAGTACATGTGTTTATTCTACAAAGACAAGATTATCACACCTGCATGAAGTGATTTACACCTTTCATAGCTGCAGTACATGTGGGGCTCATGACAGACATCAATTATGATGATATTATACATACATATTTACTGTCACACACTGAGCTGAGCCAAGCATTATTATTATGTGATGTATCAATATTATTGTGTCGTGTGTGTACCTATCAAAATACCATTATAGCATTATCTCATATCACAGTATTAGATATCACTGACATATTTCACAAATCTAGCCATTATATAGTGAGCAAATCTAATGACACATCTTCAGTTTCTTACTTGAGTAAGGTGAAAAAAGACTGTGTGGTTAAAATACAAAAAAAAAAAAAAAATCCTTTGTTCCCATCCATCTTATGTTCTCAAAAACTTGTCGATATCTAAAATTTATCAATTATATCTAATACATTTTTTCTTTATTTTTCTTTATAATATAACTACGTGTACCTACCCTGCTGTAAATACACTCCAACTCTCTTCTTGTTAGTACTCCCAAATGTCTACAGTATGACAAGATAGAACAGTTAACAAAAAACAAAAGAAACACAGCTGCCTGCTGAAGAGTTTAAAGGTAAATCAGGTATAAAATAAGGCAAAACAGTAAACAAAACTAGAAAATCAAAAAAGTTGTTTGTCAGTGTTCTATGTCAACCAAGCCACCTGAGGTAAAAAATAAATAAATAAATAAATAATAACAAATAATTATAACAACAGTGAAGACAATAATACTGATGTAAATGATAACCCCTAAAAGCATGTGCCACCCTACCTGAGCAAATAAAGTATCACAAGCAGTGGTCATCCCGGCACCTATAGACACCCCAAGAACATTGATTACCTGTAGGAGACAAATAGCCCAGTGGAATTATTGGTTAGTTAACCTAGTAATGAAGATAGAGACTGGTGGTTTTTATTGTGATGATAGAAATTTCAAAATAGGAAGTTGCGGTGGGAAATTTTGCTGTGCACTGGTAATATAAGGGGCTAACACTCATTAGTTCTCTAAATTACCTGTAGAAAAAAATAAAAACAAATATAAATCAAAATAATTACTCACTGAGGCTATAATAGATTTACTCAATGCACCAATAAGTTTGGTGGATTTTTTGTTTCTTTTCTGAGAAGCACCACCCCAAATAGTGATAATCACAACAAAGCAAATAATAACATGTACAGTTGTAATTTGTGGGCTGTTTTAGTACATGTTATGCTGAGTTATACAAGACTAACACAGATTGGTCATGCTCTGCGCATGACCAAGTAACTTTTTATTAACTGTGAATTTTTACCACCATACTACTCTGTGTACTCTTGTGCATTTACTGTACTTTGTATAGCTGTGCACTTTTGTACATCTTGTGACTCTATAGTAAACAAAAACTTAATTAGAAAACAAAGGGAACACAAAGAGTGCTTTTTATGTACAAATAGTAAAAGTCACAATTCATACAAAAAGGGAGCATTCCTATTAACTCATCATACTAGCCAGATCAATCTAACTCTGTGGGGATTCTCCCTAAACTGCATTCAGTGTGAAGGGCTTAGATGTCTAGCATGACTTCTCAAGCTGCTTGTGGGTAATTAACAATCATTACTCCCCAGTTACTCAAGGGCGTGTTCCAGACAATTAAGTAAGCTGATTACTAGTGAGAAACCCTGCAGAGTTAGATTGATTACGATGGGTTTATGATAACACAATCTTAGACCCCATCCCTATACCTAGATCAACCTAGCAGGATCAGTCCATCTCCATGGGGATTCTCACTAAATTGCACACAGTTTAAGGGGCTATAATGTCTGGTATGCCTTCCAAAGCTGTTAGGGGGTAATTAACTATCATTTAGCAGCTTCAGTAGGCATGCAGACATCAGCGCCACTTAAGCTGTTAGCAATTAAGCTAGAATCCCCTTGGAGATGGACCGATCCCAATAGGTATGGGAATGGGGTCTAAACCATGGTGGTGGTACTTACAGAATTTGCCAGCCCCACAGCATCCAACTCTGCTGTCCCCAGATGTCCACAGAACATGATAGCCACTGGACCAAACATGTACGTGAACACAAAAGTCACTACCTGCAATGAGACAACAGATTTCATTGGCTAAGATCACTGTTGTCATGGAAACCAAGTACTTGTACTGACAAGTCTAGTTCTACTGCAAGAGATTTTGTGAGGCTTGCTTCATAAAGATTTTTAAAAAATCTTGCTGTGACATTCAGTGAATCTTCTTTTGAGTCATTGCTATCAAAAAATAAAACTGAAATAATTGCATACATTAAAGACTTTCTGCATTTGAAAAGGACTCAAATTCCATATCCTATGTCTATATTTCCTGCAAATGAAGCTACAGTAACTTCTCTTCTCCAATTCAGGCCATAAAAACAATACAATGGACATTTCCTTCGGAAGTGTACATGTAGGAAGGCCAGCAGTCAAACTCACCTCTCAGTCATTTACATTTAAATTAGTTATTTAGAAATAGTATATTACAATGAATACAACAGCATGTATGCAGAGATTGTATGACAATTATGTGCTATAATATTTCACAGTATGCAAACAGACATCAACTTATTCTAAACTAACAATATATTAGATATATTATATTTTATTGCATACTAGTCATGACTAGGAATCTCTTGGGGGTTGATAGGGGGGTGGGGTGGGGTAGGGGTTGGGGGGGAATGGGATCTTGACCTTACTTCTTCTTGTGAATTAACTCTCTCTCTATCAGAACATCTACTGTACATGTACTACTATGATAATATACTGAACATTAAAAAATGTTACAAGTCCACAGTTAATCTTATAAAACTAACCATAGGCCAGGCAAGGCTCAGCTCTTCTACAAACTCTTCCTTGTAGCCATGAGGGAATATAACATGCCAGACACCACATCTACCTGTACAGCAGGCTTCTCTCTGCTTGTACACCACTTCATACTTAATGTCCATCTCTAGGGGAATTGTAAAGGTGAATGATGCTGTACGCAATTCACAGTCACAAGAGGTCATCAGAATAATTCAGATTACCTACCCTCTTTACTATACTAGTATATATGTTTTAGGTATATACAAATACAATACTATAGATAGATACAACAAAATTCTGAACCGGTGGAAACTATTTCTTGAATTTTACATTATGAAAAAATGTTGCAACACTGGCAGTCTGCCTACTAGTTCACTGTACATGGTTTTATCAAATTATTACTAGCAGAAGGTTAAGCAAACAAGCCTCTGAAGTTTTACTGGTCACATAACAATTTTCAGGCTTTAATTATGTCTTTTTATTTGTGCAACATGTCACAGGTCCCACACTTCCGCATATACAATGATTTTCTACATGCCAATTTCTATATGCTGATTTTCAATTAAGCTCCTTCTACATGCACAGCACACCATACCTTCATCTTCATCTGAACTTCCATGTTTGAATGTCTTGTACCATTTTGCTCCAGGACTGCTGGCAGGTGTTCCAGGTTTTATTGCGCTCTCTGCCTCTGACTCCTCCCCTTCACTTCTCTCCATCTTCACAAGTTCTGGAAATCATATACATTCACAGATATGTTATTATCAGGGGCAGATCCTGAGATATTTTCTAACAGTCTTCCAAATTATCTTTGTTGATCCGTTCTCTATTTTTGGCCATCTTCCGGCAGAAAAAATTAGATACTCGCCAATGTAAACTTGAAAATCTGACCGTCTCCCAGAAGACCCAGAAGAGCATCTCAATCTGACCCTGATTTTTTTAATGATTATTATTACTGCCAATAGTACTAGTATGTAATGATACTACAAACATATAGTATATATACATACCAGTATATTACTAGTACTAGCAAACAACTTTGGTGGGTTCTGTCAGCTGACAAAGTACTTACAGCACAATGACTCTGCTATATAAACCCAGGTCCAGGTCTCCTGACAGGTACGTACAGTACTAGCACTTACCTCAGGGGTTTGTTATCTACATGTAAGCTCCTTCTAGATAAAGTTAATAATTAACAAAACCAGTGAGTCTTAAGATCTGTGATGGCTGGGGTTATCTATTGGAACCCTGCTTATATATATGCATGTTCTAAGCCTTACCCCGTATCTTCACTTGAAAGGCAATGAAATCTGCAGGTAAAACTTTTTTAAATACATGTATGATCTACTAGCACTTTTTACAACCAAAGCTACTAGTAAAAAAAAAATATATATATATATATGTGTGAAATTTAACAGTCTAGAATTTTGTCATTATGAGTAGCTACCTTGTAGTACACAGATCTACTTTAATCAGAATATATATATTTTCTGATTAAAGTAGATCTGTGTACTACAAGGTAGTGTTACTCATAATGCCAAAATTTTAGACTGTTAAATTTCCACACAATAAGCAGAAAACGTACCTGTAAAGCTACTTTGCAGTAAACATGATAATTATGCAATGTGCATACCTGTAAAGCTACTTTGCAGTAAACATGATCATTATGCAATGTGCATACCTGTAAAGCTACTTTGCAGGAAACATGATCATTATACAATGTGCATACCTGTAAAGCTACAGTACTTAATTTGCAGTAAACATGATGTTATGCAATGTGCAAACAGTATGTGCATGCAGTACTACATCATGTTGTGTATGTGCCTGCATGAACTGGAGGAACATATAAATACATGTAGGTCAATTTACAACTAAAAAATTAACAAAAAAGGTGCAGTTTTGAAGCCATTGTTTGACTGAACAAGAGATTAATTTGGTTTATGATTCAGCAATTTTACTATGTTTAGTCATATAACTTATAAGAAACTAGTAAAACATGCAAAGTCGTTTATATGTAAAAACTGTAAAAAAAAAAAAAAAAAAAAAAAACTGCTCGCGCTACATACATGTACACTAGCTGTCATGAAGTCTTTTCAAAAAAAAAAAAAAAAATAGGCGGCTGCAAATTTTCACTTATTTTTCGGTCATTTCATCTAAAATATATTCAGCACATATGCAGTGACTGTTTCTGTTAATTTCCACATTAAACATTTTTCGTTTCCTTTTTTAAGTGTAAAACGTGAAGATAAAAATTATCCTAACATTACGCGGTGCATACACTTACCCAGTCGCTGTATACATATTATTCAGTGCTTGTATAACATTGCGGTTTATGGCGGCCTAATTTACAAGACCAAAGCATACGTTATATTAAAACACCACTGTAGCAATTCCATTTTTATCTTGACAAAAAGCCTGGTGTAATGGAAAAATACAACGAAGTGGAAAGACGGAGTTAATTACCTGTTTTCACAGCATGTTCACCGAAAATTCTCTCCCGTCCGTCTGCTCCTGAGTCTAAGATAAGCTTATTAATATGCAGTCTCACATCTCAAAACCATTTTAATATATTGACAGAACAGCCATGAATTTACCGCATTTCGTCACAACATGTTCCCAGGTGTGCAAAAATGTATTGTTCAAACAGAATTTGTCTCCTCTTGTGACCCAGTTATTGACTTGGATGGCGCGACATCTATTCTTATGTGCAAAGCATGAGTAGTTCATACATAAGCTGTAGGCATTTACATAAGCAGCGGTTTCTAAGTAAATACTTGTATTAAAATGAATCGGGCGATTGTGCGAGCAGTGCAGCGCTTAACAGGGTTGCCAGGGAAACCACAAGGTGTTAATATCCTAGAAAAGGTAACATTAAGTACCGCCTTTTTCTGTGTGACAAAAGGCCATGGCGTCTACATGGTGAACGTGCTGTATTACTTGTTCAGTTGACATTGGCTATGACGCTATGGATGATATTTGTTGGAGATGATAAAATGTTAGAGAATGGACTTGCACAGTGCCCTTGGGCATAAGTTATAATGCTGAATAATAGGAAGGTTTTTAAATTCCACGCTCGACTGTCACCTTGGTCTGTTGATGGAATTTACATGTAAACTAGTAAATTTAAATTAAATTAAATTAAATTAAATTAAAAAAAAACTTAAGTAAAAATCCACACGACATGCTTGCATCAGTTTTCAGTCCTCTTTGCTGCAATAAGAACATAGCATGTAAAGCAACAAAGATGTCCCACCTCAAATGGGAGTGATGCAGAGGTTTAGGAAAAGATGCCTGCCGTAGAAGTGGATGGGGAGAGGAGGGGGGGGGGGGCATGGTATAAAAATTGAAAAATACCATGGTACATGCATAGTATTTCATCAATTTATGATATGACAACTGGTGTATTTTTATTTTCAGCAAAGACTTTGGTATTCTACTAAGCCCCCTACACTTAGGAAAAGGGTAAGGTATATTTCTTACTGGAATTCATTTTTATCACAATCTGCTGTATGTGCTATAGAGAATTGCAATAATTTCACTGTTAAATTACTGGATAACTAAAGGAGAGTATTATTCTTTTTTAAATTTACATCTAAAGCGAGTGTGTAATTCTAGTTACACATAAACTATTTCCACGTGTTTCTTAAATAAAATTGTGATGCCTAGTCATAAACCAAATTAATATCTCGTTCAACCAAAAATAGCTTTAAAACTGCACCTTGAATTTCATAGTCGTAAAGTTACCTCTTCATCTGTCCTTCTAGTTCATAAAGGATAACTAAACAACGTAGTACTGCATGGATAGCATAATCATTGTTCTCACTCCCAAGTATGGATTTGACATCAGCCATTTAAAAGGCCAAAGGAATCTAGCATATATTCTAATTCATACTAAAAACTAGAGTCATTCAGAACAGATGATCTGCACACTAACTGATCCACTGACTAAATATGGCCGACCCTACTACAGAAGCGATGAGGATAGGCGATTTAATCCATTTAATGATGTGTGTGGAGGCAGGGAGACCACCAAGTATCAGCAGCATCGATTTTGATATGGGGTCGGCCATATTTAGTTAACAGATCAGTCAGTTCGCGGATCATCTGTTCTGAGTCCTCTGTTACACAAGCATACCTTATGTATTTCAGGTGACAAATGGTATAGTTATTGGTGGTAGCATCATTTTCTTTGGAGGTGCCTCAGTGTACATGTTGCAGCAACAGAACCGAAGCATACGAGATGCTGGAGGTCAGCATTCACAACAACGGAGTAACTAGTCCGTGGATCAAATATGGCTGACCCACTTGAATACTTAGCAGATTATATGGCAAGCTTTTTAGTGGCTCACCATATTTGACACGTGAACGTGTCCACTGATCTGAAAATGGCATTTGACATAAGATTTGATATGTATGCTAGTGTCTGTACACATATTCTGATCATTGTCACAGCGTCATAAGCAGTGCTGTTTCGATCTGACTCGTCTTTGTTCACTGTATAACTGTTCAAACTGTATCGATTTAAATGTATATGTATTTATCAGCTCATTCGTACAATTGTAAGTAAGATAAGAATTGAGAAATGTAAACTTTTTATAAAATGTTTAGGGTATAGGTCAGGTTACTTTATAGATAAGATGTGAATTATATTGGTTTCCGGCATGTTTTGAAATTTTCAACACCAATTTTATGGTTTAATTTTATCAGCAAGTCAATAGACTCTCAACAACAATACGATAAAGACATTTAAATTTTTTATGCAAGGAACACTATCTTAATTAATGTCTCCTTTAGCATTACTATATATGTGTCCTTTTATTAGTTTTAAACTGATTGCAGTTTTACACTTAAATTTAAGTAGTATCATTTAAACCTCATATAATTTGTTTTAGAGAGGAAAAGACTATTAAGAGAACAACAAGAAAAAAGTGATTCTTCAGCTGCTACCCCTGCTGCTACACCTGCTGCTACACCTGCTGCTAAACCTGCTGCTAAACCTGTTGCTTCAAAACCCAAGAAAAAGAAATCAAATGTCAAGTCAGGTATTGGGGGTCCCTTTGAGCTGATCTCACAAGATGGCGCCACAGTCACTGAGAAGGAGCTACTGGGGAAGTGGACAATGGTGTATTTTGGTTTCACACATTGTCCAGATATATGTCCAGAAGAAATGGAGAAGATGTCTGCAGCTGTCAATGTCATCTGTAATTATTATTACTATTATTATTACTATTATTTAATTTAGGTATTTTTTGCAAAGAGTAACATTATTTTGTACTATTTTATGTAGAAAATGAACTTGAAGGTAACTTGCCGTTTTGATCCAGATTTTTATTTCATTGATGTAATATTTTTTTACATCGTTATCATCATCATCCTATCCCCACAGAGATTGACGGGTTTATCATCATGTTCTCTCCAAACCATACAATCCTGCATCAACTACGCCAAATTTCTGAACCACTGACCAAGTCATCTATAGAGCTGTAAATGTTAATGACACAAAGTTTGGGCTCATTTTTTTTTTCAGACACATCTGATTCATCTTTGTGGTAAATAATTTATATTGCATAACTCCAAAAGAAATGAGTACAATTTGATGAAGAACTATTTAAATTTCTCACTCACTCACACACACCAACACTAAGACATTTACAGTATACATGCAAAGTGGAATGGGTACAGCAAAAACAATATTTACAAAACTAAACAGACTGTTACAATGAAGAAAATACAGACTTGTGAAAGACTTGTTTCTTCCAGAGATAATGTATAAGCAAAGAGGAGTACTTGTCTATGTAACATAGATATGGAGCGTACACAGTGATGGTATTCAGACTAACAGATCTGCTTAGTAAACATGACCGACTCATTTAAAAAACAGCCTCACCCAATCCCCTAATTTTGTTCTTAACATACAGGAACTGATTGTCTTTATTTATGAAATTGATTTCGATAGGTGTGTGTAGTTGTGATCATTGTGATTGTGCAAATCAGACCAAAGATGATGTCCGTTTGACTTCTTATGTATCTGTGAGTATCAAAATATTTTATTTTGTAACAAAAATGTAATTTTTTGGTTGTGTTCTATTTCAGCTGGCCAGAAAGACATGCCTGATATCCCAATTTATTTCATCACCTGTGACCCTGCTAGAGACACTCCTGAGGTCATGAAAAGATACAATGAAGGTGAGTGATGAGAGAGAGAAAAAAATCTAATACCTTGTACTTTTTGAAATAAATTTTGTTTTAAGTGTTGTTTAAAAGAGATACTTAATTCCAAAATTATGCATCAGGATAGGTAGGGATGTGCCTTAAGTCTTCAATCAAAGTTATTTGTCATGAACAGAAAAATGTCTTCGAAATCAGTAGTGTTCTGAGAATAGTTTATTAAGCAAAGATATAAATAAAATTAATTTGATATGAAACATTTTATTGCAGGGAAACTTAAAGATGAAATCAATCTCATAAGTGGTCTCTCTAGAGTACCAGACAAGAAATTCAATTTTAATTTGTTTATTTTTAATTATATTTTTCATTGATTGATTGGATTGGCTGTAATGTATAGAAATATCATTAATCTAAAATGACCTGTCTATTTATAGAAATCTCTTCAAGAATTATTGGTCTGACAGGACCTGAAGACAAGGTGTTGGATGCCTGTAAACAATACAGGGTATACTTTAGTAATGGCCCTAAAGACAGAGACGGGGATTATATTGTAAGTAGACTGCATACCTTATAATAGCAAAAGAATTTATTTTTTCCTGCTAATTTTTATTCTTGTTTAAAACCAAGATATTATCCAAACCCATTTAGATATTTACAATCTAGAAATATGTTTTCTAGCTATGAAATTCAGATTTCACTTTTAAAAGCAATTTTTTTTTAATTAATTTATTTGTAACTATATCTTTTGAGATAGGTTCAAAAGCTTAAAACTTACAAATGAAAAAATGGGTTAATGGGTTTTGATACTGAGCAGTATTAGAAGGAGTATTTTGATGTTATATTACATACCTGTACAAGACTGAGCTAAGATGCCTAATTGTTCTCCTCTCTCCAGGTGGATCACAGTGTGATAACCTACCTCATGGACCCCCAGGGAAAGTGCCAGGCTTTTTACTCCAGAGACTCTACTGTGGAATCTGTAGCCAGAGATATCAGGCAAAAAATAACATCTTGGGTGCCACAGTCCTGATGAAAATGAGATGAGGATAATTGTGTATAAATTATGGACTCCATGCTCTCTGCTGCCAGGAGCCTGAAGACAAACTTGTAATAATAGTCAGGGGTGAAAGTGTTCAGTATTATGCCTGATTCAGGATTGTCAGGCTTCATTTTGATCGTGTTTTTCTAATGGTCTAAATCCTATGAGAAATTGCAAGCTATGTTTTCAGAATTTTCAGTTTTTGAAACTTGCTACCCTGGTTGTAGCATGTGGCAAAGGATGACAGCTGTGCTATGGTCCTCGTTCACACTGAGCACAACAGTTGCCTGCATTGCATAGGTTTGAGAGATTGGCAAGTTAATAGCCTGGTGATTATGTAAGATAGCTTAAAGGGATCTCAGCTCTTGACTGGAGCTTTCAAACAGTTAGAATTTCATGAAAGGAGTAAAGTTCCCACAGCAAGATTAAAATAAATTATTCAGGTCTAGTCAAACTGGTTCAAAACAGAAAAATGCATTGCTCAATGTGAAAAGGACCAGTGTGAAGTGATAGGCCATGTTGGCCCACAAAATTTCGCTTTCCTTATAAGAACTTATTTCTACCAGTCCGGGTAAATATTCTTATATAATTGTTTATGTAAGCTACAGATGTAGTTATTATTTTTAAGACTTACAACAAGTAGGCAACCAAAAAAAATTTAAAAAAAAAGATCAGATTAGAGTAAAACGTAAAGGAGACCAAGGCTGTGCGTGATATCTAAAGCAATTTTGAGTTCAAGCAGTGATAAATATATTCAGATGAGAAATTTAGAGTGTATTATACTGATGAATTTAAAGAAAGGATTCAGGACCTTTTTGTAACATTTGAACATGGGGGCTGACAGCACCAGAAGAGAGTTGATGTGATAATTTGCTGTGTAATAATAAGGGAAAATAACACAATACCATGCATTCATATCAAGTGAATTACTGTTTATGACCGAGTATGTCCGTATGTTTATTATGTAAAATGTTTTCTTTAAAGAAAAGGTATTCTTTTAGTTCCTATAATGTAAAAAAAAAATAGCACTCAATGCAAGAAGAAAAGTGTTTGGCTAATTCTTTGAATAAAAATCAATGAAAATTATTACATTATACTGCAAATTGGTATGAATCAACTTGAGCTCTATTGATAATATCATGGATAAATGATTCACAAAAAATTATAGGAAAACATATTGATAAAATATAACCATTTATTTTGAAACCCAATATAGGAACCAATTTCTGTAAATGGAATGTTTGTAAGCAATTTGGCATTTGCCACAGATCCTAATTTGAATATACAATTATGTATGCTTTTCACTAAATCTTAGTTACTTTATTTTTCTGTTAAAGATGTGACATATTATTAGAGATCCTTCGATACTTGCATGTGGAAGCCTGTATTGCAGCAGTACAGCAATGTTTGTACGTTTCGATTTTCCTGACAAAAATAAAAGAGCAGACTTCGCCTCATATAATAGTACTTTTCATAAAATGAAGATTTACAGAGACAAAATATGTTTTAAAATGGATGAGCGACCGATGAGTTCATCGGCATCAACAATATTTTTTTACAAAGTGAACAACAGCAGTAAATCAAAGTTTTAAAACAAAAATTAAAATTCATCCACATTTTAATATGACTGTAGTGGCGGATCCAGGGAAGGCCACATCTTGGTCACGTGACCCTAGAGCGTTTAAGCCATTCCTTTCCCCCCACCCCCCAAAAAGAAAGCTGTCTTTCGACCAGTGTGCCCTTCCTATAACAACATATTTGCCTCGTCTGTTGTTTTATATCTGCTAAGCGAGGCAAATAGTTTGTTACTTGTGTCCTCGATCTCAAAAAGAAAAAACTCCTGGATCCGCCCGGGTGCGCTGATGTAATATATTTATCTGTACGGACAGTCCACTTTATCAGGCCAGTCACAGGCTCCAGCTTTAGGATTGAAGAGAAGTCCCGGAGGACACAGGCGCCCTCTTTGGATCATATACCCATCGCAAGAGAGGAAGGTGCTGCAGTCGCCGGGCTCCGGAAAATTTCCACTCGGTTTCTGGCACAGTTTGCCTGAAAATATGTAAATTTGGAGGAGCGTGAGTCTCAGTCTCTCTCTCTCTCTCTCTCTCTCTCTCTGTGATTGACGTTTTCAACGGTATAACTTTCATGTGAATTGGCGTTCAATGTACAACAATATATATGTAAGTGCGCTGTTAGAAGACGTACGCACGCTTAAAGGGACAAGCCTTAAAATTAACATATTAAAATTCCGCAACAGTCATACCCCACTTACATAAAATAATTTTAAGTACCTTGCCCATTTCTTCCTTTCTACAAATTTTAACCTGCCCTCATCAATCCATTCCAATGATTCTGAGCAAACTTAACATTTCAATTTGGTTTTAAAATTACAAAACCAAATTCCAGTCTAAAGTAATTTTATGTTACCAAGCCCCAGGAATATCACGTCAGTACTGACCATGGTCAAGCCTCCGGCCACAGTCAACATTCTGAGGGAGGTCACATATTTTCTTCCCGGCCCTGAACTTCAGGTCCCCTGGGCAGTCAAAGTTGACCACCACCCCCTCAGGACAGATGACCCTGTAGCCACCGCAGTTACTGTTATCCGGCAAAACCCTGCACAGGGGCTCTGGAATAAAGAGGGTCGGAAATTGCCATTTTTTTCAATGCATCAGTAAATTGTATTACACAGATTCATGGTGTCATTATCGTACAGTTTTTGGTTAAAAGCAAACGAATGCGATGAATATAAACTTAAAACAGGAAACCTAATGATAAAATGATTTGCCATACTGTTCACAATTCAAACCCAATTGAAGTTGTAAATCTAGAAGCTTTCCGACCTATGAAAAATGTTCAGCAACAGCATTTGGTAAATCGCCCCCCCCCCTCCCCTTGANTTTAATTGTGCACTTATTTGCTTCTTTATGTTCTGTTTTTTTGTCTATACTTTTGACATCTTTGCTGCCTTGTTAACTTATTTCTACCAGTCTGGGTAAATATTCTTATTCAATTATCTATGTAAGCTACAGATGCAGTCATTATTTTGAAGACTTACAACTAGTAGGCAACCACAAAAAAAAAAAAAAGATCAGATTAGAGTAAAACGTAAAGGAGACCAAGGCTGTGCGTGATATTTAAGCAATTTTGAGTTCAAGCAGTGATAAATATATTTGGACGAGAAATTTAGAGTGTATTATACTGATGAATTTAAAGAAAGGATTCAGGACCTTTTTGTAACATTTGAACATGGGGGCTGACAGCTTCAGAAGAGAGTTGACGTGATAATTTGCTGTGTAATAATAAGGGAAATTAACACAAGTACCATGCATTCATATCAAGTGAATTACTGTTTAGAGTATGTCAGTATGTTTATAATGTAAAATGTTTTCTTTAAAGAAAAGGTATTCTTTTAGTTCCTATAATGTAAAAAAAATAGCACTCAATGCAAGAAGAAAAGTGTTTGGCTAATTCTTAAAATAAAAATCAATGAAAATTATTACATAATACTGCAAATTGGTATGAATCAACTTGAACTCTATTGATAATATCATGGATGAATGATTCACAAAAAATTATAGGAAAACATATTGATAAAATATAACCATTTATTTTGAAACCCAATATAGGAACCAATTTCTGTAAATGGAATGTTTGTAAGCAATTTGGCATTTGCCACAGATCCTAATTTGAATATACAATTATGTATGCTTTTCACTAAATCTTAGTTACTTTGTTTTTCTGTTAAAGATGTGACATATTATTAGAGATCCTTCGATGCTTGCATGTGGAAGCCTGTATTGCAGCAGTACAGCAATGTTTGTACGATTTGATTTTCCTGACAAAAATAAAAGAGCAGACTTCGCCTCATATAATAGTACTTTTCATAAAATGAAGATTTACAGAGACAAAATATGTTTTAAAATGGATGAGCGACCGATGAGTTCATCGGCATCAACAATATTTTTTTACAAAGTGAACAACAGCAGTAAATCAAAGTTTTAAAACAAAAATTAAAATTCATCCACATTTAATATGACCGTAGTGGCGGATCCAGGGAAGGCCACATCTTGGTCACGTGACCCTAGAGCGTTTAAGCCATTCCTTTCCCCCCACCCCCCAAAAAGAAAGCTGTCTTTCGACCAGTGTGCCCTTCCTATAACAACATATTTGCCTCGTCTGTTGTTTTATATCTGCTAAGCGAGGCAAATAGTTTGTTACTTGTGTCCTCAATCTCAAAAAGAAAAAACTCCTGGATCCGCCCGGGTGCGCTGATGTAATATATTTATCTGTACGGACAGTCCACTTTATCAGGCCAGTCACAGGCTCCAGCTTTAGGATTGAAGAGAAGTCCCGGAGGACACAGGCGCCCTCTTTGGATCATATACCCATCGCAAGAGAGGAAGGTGCTGCAGTCGCCGGGCTCCGGAAAATTTCCACTGGGTTTCTGGCACAGTTTGCCTGAAAATATGTAAATTTGGAGGAGCGTGAGTCTCAGTCTCTCTCTCTCTCTCTCTCTCTCTCTCTCTCTCTGTGATTGACGTTTTCAACGGTATAACTTTCATGTGAATTGGCGTTCAATGTACAGCAATATATATGTAAGTGCGCTGTTAGAAGACGTACGCACGCTTAAAGGGACAGGCCTTAAAATTAACATATTAAAATTCCGCAACAGTCATTCCCCACTTACATAAAATAATTTTAAGTGCCTTGCCCATTTCTTCCTTTCTACAAATTTACAACCTGCCCTCATTAATCCATTCCAGTGACTCACAACTATTTCTGAGCAAACTTAACATTTCAGTTTGGTTTTAAAATTACAAAACCAAATTTGAGTCTAAAGTAATGTTAAGCGCTTCAGAATATCACGTCAGTACTGACCATGGTCAAGCCTACGACCACAGTCAACATTCTGAGGGAGGTCACATATTTTCTTCCCGGCCCTGAACTTGAGGTCCCCTGGGCAGTCAAAGTTGACCACCACCCCCTCAGGACAGATGACCCTGTAGCCACCGCAGTTACTGTTATCCGGCAAAACCCTGCACAGGGGCTCTGGAATAAAGAGGGTCGGAAATTGACAGTTTTTTTTAATGCATCAGTAAATTGTATTACACAGATTCATGGTGTCATTATCGTACAGTTTTTGGTTAAAAGCAAACGAATGCGATGAATATAAACTTAAAACAGGAAACCTAATGATAAAATGGTTTGCCATACTGTTCACAATTCAAACCCAATTGAAGCATCGATTGTAAATCTAGAAGCTTTCCAACCTATGAAAAATGTTCAGCAACAGCATTTGGCAAATCGCCCCCCCCCCCTCCCCTTTAATACACCAGTAACCACCACCTACCATCAGGTTCAGGTACAAGCGCTTCCGATTCGTAGGTACAGCAGACTGGCTCGTCAGTACACTGCTTTGTCAGCCAATCATAGAGCTGTGTTCGTCCCGGGCACTCATGAATCTGGACAACCTCGAAACCGACACAGGTCATGTACTGATTGCAGGCAACGGGATGTTTGTAGATTCCTTCCGAGCCCGGACACACAGGGTAACCTGGAAAGAGACGTTGTCACGTTCCTCTTTAGAAAGTTATTAGTAACTTAAAGGCAAAATGAAATATGGTTAACGTTCAGCTTAAATGATGTTAACACCATTCATTAAAATTTTCCATTCGCTTTTTGTAAAAAAATTAATTAATTAAAACTTTTATAAGATTGTCAACATGAGAATGTCTCTTAAATATTTCTAAAAGCAACTCTCTTGATAAATATATAAAAATGTGCTAATATTTTTGATTTTGCATAAAAAAGATAAAACAACAACATACCATCTAGCCCTGTGCTGGGCGGTGCTGGAGGGTCGCTCATGTCATAAGGGCACCCTGGCTTGGGTTTGGGCTTTGGCTTCTCCACCGGTGGCAGCGGCAGTATGGGCCGATTATGACACTTGACGTTCCACGGCCAGTCACACCAGTTTTTGGACTCCACATACATAAGACCTCTGGCACACGGTCTGTTCCTGTAAACTTGGTAATCTTCACACGTGACAAAGTCTCTGCAGTTCAACGGCTCCTCCCAGTTACCATTAGGAGCGCGGCATATTGGATTCTCTGAACACGAATTTAAGAGTTATTACTAATCATGACCTGCATACTGGTTTTTACAATTGAAAACTCCAATTTATTATATCCCAAACAGCAAGACGTCCCTTAAATCTTGTCATATGGGACATGATACAGAATCTAAGTAAAACCACCCCAATGAAGGACTCTTAGGCCTACTTCATAATACCATTGATGGCAAGTTGCGTCTTTAGAGTCATTCAATCCTGAAAACCCTAACAAAAAAGTCCCATAGAATCCTATAAGATTTTATAAGATCCTCTAGAAAATTGGGCCATTTTCCCATAGAATCCTATGGAAACTTATAGGATTCTATAGGATTTTTTCGTAAAGGTAACAAGGGTAAGCCCAACCCATAGCTATGGCACAAACTCAGGCACATTATTATCAGTACTTACTGTGTATGGTCCTGTTTTTACAGCGTATAGTAGTATCTTCTTCACACTTGCTGGTGTTCTCATTGAACAACAACCCCACAGGACAAACGTATTCCACGTCTATCATGGTGTCGTTCACCTCGTCATAGCACGCCACCAGGTAACCACCACAGTTGTTGGGGTTTCCTTTTACCTCGCACGGCGGCGGCTCTGGAACCAAAGCATACAAGTGCATGTTTACAATGGGCATTAGGCATTTTATGTCATAGCCAAATCAGATTATTTCCCTCAAACATTTGCTTATGCTTCCTTTTTCTCCAAGGTAAACCAGGTCCTGGTTGTTTATTTTTCTACGGTACTAATTTTAATCGAAAAACAATGGAGAGTCGAACAGAAAGCCATCTCTACATATCACTCAACACGAAATTCAATATTAGCCCATTTCATAAACTGCGTGAATCTTCACGAAGTATTTCATTCAATTGACTTCCATGGTATGTACTTATTGAGTGGTTACATTTCACCTATATTTTTACACGGTAGGCCTATATCTTTAAAGGAATAATCTTTGACTGAAGTGGTGGTTGAATACTATAGACAGGTACACATATTGCAAGCTGCTTCAATTTGGTTTAACATTATATGTAATATTTGTAATAATTTAGTTGTGAAATGCTAAAATCTAAACGATCCATTATACCTGTTCGATTCCTCATAACCTGTCGGACGTGCATTGCCATGACGTCACAGAGCACCGCCTCTGGTGACGCGCACCTGCCAGTCACGTTGTCGTAGTGCATTCCATGTGGACAAGGGTTGTCATGGAGAACTACGAAATCTACTGCGCAAGTGTAGAACTCGTTGCAGCGAAGTGGGTGCCGGAACGTGCCGTTGGGTGCGGGGCATATGGGCACTTCTACCCACACTGTAATCAAGATAGTTCAACATATAATCATGTTTCAATAAAAGGTAATGTTTATTTCATTTTTAAAAGTTTCAGGTCGATGTTAAAATGGAGAAACTCTTCTAGAATCCTACAAAAATGTAGAAGACGCTTGAGGTATTTGTGTGTGCAGATATGACAGCGTGCTCTTTGTTAATTTGAAGCTGACCACTGACTACTGACCTATCTCGCAGTTAATTCCAGTGACCATGGGTGGACAATCGCACGTGTACATGTTGACCAGGTCATTGCACGTGCCCCCATTTTGACACGGAGCTGATTCGCATTCATTGATGTCTGAATGATAAAGTGAAAGAAAAATGTACATAAAAAGTACTTAAATAAAAGTAAAATACCACTGTACAAAATAACAATTTAATCGCTTTTGCAAGCTTTTTGTAATACAGATTAGTTCTTCTGTTCTTTGGTACAAGTAATAGTTATATATAATTACAGAGACAAAAAGATTACATTTAAGGTACAAAAATACTGTAACATAACTATTATTCTGTGAAGTTCCTCAGTTGGAAAGAGAAACTAAGCTGCAATGATCACAGGCTGTAGCTGAGCTCGTATTGGTCCGTGTGCGCCAGACTAGTATTCAGCTCTTTGTTTTACCTACCTGTCTCACAGCTGAGCCCTGTGTATCCAGGGACGCAGGTACAGGTGTAGTAACCGATCTCGTCAAAACACGTCCCGTCATGCTGACAAGGGTTAGATGCGCATTCATTTATATCTGGTGCATGATGAAAGAAAAAGAATAAACATGTAGGATTCAAAGACGTTTAACAAATTGTCGTCGGGAAACACCCCAGTTGATCTTTTTAACGATCACAGTAATATGCTGTATTAAGACCATTATTTCCAGTCGGTAAAAAATAATATGCTCGTTTATGTTGCCATTAAAAAACATCAATGGTGACCATAAGACCAACTCACAAGTTTAGCTTTAAGTTTTTTCAAACCTTAATAACTTAATATCAACGCAAAATATCTAAGCAATGCTGGTGAGTTAATGATTTCTATTTACTTTCACATGATGTGTTGGCTTGCTATATTTTATATTTCGTTATTTAATGAAACATATTAAACATTTTTGTTACCCGTTTCACAATTTATTCCAGTGTATCCCAAGACGCATGCGCACTGGTACTTTCCAATGAGATCCAGGCACGTGGCACCGTTGAGGCAGGGGTCTGAGGCACACTCGTTGATATCTATATGGGTATAAATACAGACATGTATTTTTTTTACAATACCCACTGCTCAATAAAGAATAACATTAGGCCTAAAGCAAATAAAATTAAGAAAATAATATTATGTTCCAATGTTCCAATATTGAATAAAAATACTGATACTAGGTAGTGCTGCTATCCTTAAAGGTCACATCCAATGTTGATGAATTAAGGGCAATTATATTTTCTTGGGACAATAATTTTATTTGTTTTGGTATAAAGTTATAAAGAAATCAGGCTACAAATTAAGTCTCAGTTTTAGCGAACACAACCCTAGACAATATTTCCGAGAGCTTTTTGCCGTTACCCATGGCAACGTTGACGTATGATGTTGACGTGATCAGGCTATGTAATGAGCTATGGAATGTGCAATTTTGAGACGTGAGCATTAATTTTCACACTTTGAATTGAAAACCTTCTCACCCGTTTCACAATGGACGCCGGTAAATCCTAGAGCACACGTGCAGGTGTAGAACGCGATGCCGTCCTTACAGGTGGCACCATTCTGGCAAGGATTGGATGCACACTCATCAATATCTGTGTAAATAGATGAGAGATCTTAGACAGCAGTGGAACATCTACGTAGATGTAGGTAACTGGGCAAGTAAACCCACAAACAGACAGGACGGTTGAATGAGGTGCGTTTTGCGTGCGTGCGCGCGTGCGTGTGCTTGCGTGCGTGTTCGTGTTGGTATTGTCAGGAGAGCGTAAGGCAGAATAGTCTGACATAGAGTTATATGATAGATATCAATTAATTGCAGCAAACGCTGAGTTTTTATGCAAAATAATAAAATATTTTATATTTACTGCAGCAAGAGTCTATGCCTGAATAATACCAGTATCAAGCCTGATAAAACGGTTACTTACTGGTTTCACACTTGAGCCCCGTGAAGCCGGCTGGACAGAAGCACGTGTAGCCGTTCACCTGGTCTCGACAGACTCCGCCATTCAAACATGGCGCCGACGCACACTCATTGATATCTAGACATGGTGAAAATTAACGTCAACTTTGTGTTCGATGTTTTTATACTTTTACACCAGTCAGCTCTATCTAGAGAACTAATTACGCCATATGTAAAACACAATAATTGACGAATACGCATCTCATCGAAGTAGTAATATATCATACAACAAATGACCTTTTTTATAATAACTACAACTTTAGGAAAAAATTGTTCGTTGGACTAGCTCACCAATCTGACAGCGTCTTCCCGTGAAGCCTTCCCGGCACAAACAGCTGTATCCGTTCACCAAGTCCGTGCAGTTCCCGCCGTTGACACACGGGGACGGGTCACAGTCGTTTATATCTGTTTATATAACGTAAGGCTTAAGTGGTGTTATTTCTTTGAAACCGGTCAGTGTGCGTGTATAAGTATTTTGTTTGAGCAACATATCTAGAGGATTTAACACGGTTTTTAAGTTTTCATAGACGCTGCTTGCCTAAATCTCTCTCTATCTCTCTCTCTCTCAAATGCCAGAAAGATCTATCTCTCTCTTCCATTGGTCGACCAATAAAGGAAAGAATAACTTGTTATATCAATAAATATAATAATAGCATATATATATAATAATAGCATGGTATGAACACAGACACCTACCTGTCTCACACCTGACACCAGTATATCCCGGTACACATAAACACTGGTATCTGTTTAACCCATCCACACACCGGGCATCATTCTGACAGGGATTGGAGGCACACTCGTCTGTTTCTGAAATAGAATAGAATATGATGGGTTAGCTATTGTTCACTTACATTCTATACTTCACTCCCCCGAGATACAATACAATACATTACAATACCGTTTTGTTATCAAATAAGCAAAAAAAATTAAATAAAAATAAAAGAATAATAATAATATTAATAGCAAGCTTAAATCGGGGTTAACAATTAACGCAAGTTAAGATACGAAAAGTTCCCAAAGAAATGTCAACGTACCTTTCTGACAGTTGACCCCCGAGTACCCGGCGCGACACGTGCAGTCATACCTGTTGACACCGTCAGTGCACCTGCCGCCATTTTGACAAGGTGACGAGTCGCACTCGTTGATTTCTGCTCATTCATATGTAAAATCAACGTTATTGAAAGAAAAAACAAACAAAAAAAGATGACATAACTTACTGCTTGTAAACAAAATGAAATATTTCTGTAAAATACACACGAATGGTACTAGTTCCAAGTGAATAACGTCTTTCCCAATTAAAATGGGTCAATTTAATTACGTTTAAAGTTACAAAAACAACCCTTGCCACCTAAACTTCAAACATCACGCAATTGTTCTACTTCTGTTTACATAAGTGCGAAAAAAGAAAAAACCTATTGTGTGTGTAACGGATTTTTACCACAATCACCACGTTGAATGAAAAGTCAAGGACTCCATGTACCAACGTAGTCCCGCCCATTTCCTGTTTACTTACCTGATTGGCAGTTGACACCAACGTACCCTGGCGGACACAGACACGTGTACTTGTTGATTTCATTTAAACACCTGGCCCCGTTCTGGCACGGCGCTGACTGACATTCATTTATATCTGGAACACACAATATAAGATTTTTTTTTTTTTGCAATATGTTTAAATAAGAAAGGTTTTTGATTCATTTCTCGTATTGAAAATCTAAATCTTATTATACTTACCTGCAGCAACCACTGCTGTAACACAGACTGAAAAACCGCAGTTTTCTGTTTAACACATAGGCATTCCAAAAAAAGTTTATAATAAATTTAGATAGGGTTGTGTAACATACCAACTTGACAGTCCCTGCCAGCATAACCTGCTGGACAAATACACGTGTATCTGTTCACGCCGTCCACACACTCCCCGCCATTCTGACACGGAAGCGAGGCACATTCGTTTACTCCTGCAATACAAATACACGGGGATGACTCACTCTCCCCCTATAAGTATCGCTCTCAATAATGCATGTAGCTAATATTACTCGAAATGAACCCTGTGCTCCAAATGCGATGTTAAACCAAACCATGATCTCAAGACAATAGTATGAACCCTACCGTACTGCGGTACTATATGTAGCAAACTTGAAAAAACAGTTTTGATTTCAAAATAAATACTAGTTTCAAATGTTGAATTAAATATCTGATAACGAAGTGCAAAAAAAATGCACGGCCTTCAAATGTTGACAGAAATAAATTCAATAATAAAATGGATAGGGTATGTTTTCGTTATTCACATCATTAAACATTACAAGTGTATCATGTACGGGGAAGATTGCACCAGATTTCTGCAACCAAAGTGAAAGAGCATAATGACATTTTCTCCTTCTGTTTTGCTTTAGTTTTACGCACATACAAGTATTATGTCAACATCATGCTACTCGTTGTGAAGATATCCATCAACAAAGTAATGACGGTTCTTACCTATCTGACAATTCACACCTGTGTAGCCACCAAGACAGCGACACGTGTATCCATTTATGTCATCTTCACATACGCCGCCGTTCTGACACGGCTCCGAGGCGCACTCGTCACGATCTGAATACAAGATGTGCTGTTGGTTATAACAGGCATGTAGCCGAGTGTTCGAGTTTTAAAAATTCCGTATAATGAGAACAACCTGCTTCATAACTTTTTTATTTCCGGCCTTGGTGCAATTTCAGATAAAGTCAGTGTTGTCTTGAATTTCTGTTAACCATCAGAATAATTTTGATGACCAAAATAAGAGGTTTGACATGAATATCACGTTCAAAAAATCTATGCATCGATATACAATCTTTTTATCGCTTGGAGTCGTAATTCAAAAAAAATTGTGAAATATGTATTCATACAAATTATTAGTTAAACGCCCATCGAATCAATCGGTTTTTGGCGTGTTTATTAATTAATTATTTCCTATATCGATACTATAGTTGTATGCAAATATTGCTATTGGAGCCACACACACATACATCTTAAATAATATACTAAAGTATTTTACCTATCTGGCAGTTAACGCCTTCATACCCCGGAATACAGTTGCACGTGTAGCCGTTAACCTCATCGTTACACGTGCCGCCATTTTGACACGGAGAGGACAAGCATTCGTTTAGCTCTGGAAGTAACAGGGCGAGGGCAATGTCAAGGGTAATGTAATTTTAAAAAAACATCCATAAACGAGTATGATCGTAAATTGTTTTCAGTATGGACAGAGGAATGATAATAATGGAGGTAAGTTTCCGCTTTCCAATGGTGGATTCATCATTTTGCTTAGTGGCAAAACCTCTGAAACTCTTAAAGGTACATACGAACCAAGCATCGGTGGAGCGTGGATTCCCAGTAACACATGTAAACCACTTCTACTAGATTCTTATATGACTCAAATAAATTCGACATGCCAAGGGATAAACTGAATAGATCACTCGATCAGCCATAAAAGACATTTAGACTGCTCCTTTCTTTAAATTTTTGGTTGTAAATTTTACCTACTTTCGTGACCTACTTTCCTGCCCCATTGACATACAGCTTTGAATGCCAGCAGAAAAATCCGTTCAAACATCATTTTCGGGTAAAATTAAACAATGCCTTTTGGTAATTCTCTTAGTTATACTACTTGAAACTATATGCTGGCATTTGGTTGGTTTTTGTGACAAAAAATGACTTTGTATGCATCTATAATTATCTTGATAAAATTTTTTGTCAAAATGTAAACGTGACCATTCTAACAGAACACTATTCATAGATATACACCTGTTAAAAACTTACCTGTCTGACACTGCCTGCCAATATAACCCTGACGACACTGGCACCTGTACCGGTTGACCTCATCCACGCACCTGCCGCCATGTTGGCACGGCTCTGACTCACACTCGTTAATTTCTAGATAATACAAAAGTATACACAGTCAGGACACTATTACCGGCAGAATGGTCATAAAGAAAACTGAAAACCGTTGCATTCACGTAAATATTTATTTATTTATTTATTTTTTCTAAATACACGCTTACCATTAGAACTGTTGAATTCACGTATTTATTTTTATATTTTTAAATATTTTGTACAAATAAAGCAAACCATGTGGTAACACGGAACTACAGAAGAATGCGTGTAGGCCCCTATTAGAATATAAATGAAACAAGAAATAAAAGCAGGACTACCTGTTTGACAGTTCAATCCGACGTAACCAGGGAGACAGACGCAGGTGTAGGCATTGAAGGCATCTACGCACCGCCCGCCATTCTGGCAAGGTCTGGTGTCACACTCGTCACGCTCTTAATAATATGTGGAAAGGATTGAATTAACTGAGTGAAACAAACCATACCTTAAAATCTGACATTTTATTTCAGTGCTCCATTCAGTATTTGCATAAATGAAGTATGAGCAATATAATTGCTTTGGATATATTATACGGTGTTCGGTTTTGGCGAAGATCACGTAAGCATTTGAAGCTACTGAAAATCTCGGAAAACACACTCTTATCAAACATATTCTTATTAAAGGCTACAGCTCGTCTACTACTTCTATTTCTTCCATTTACACACAAATAATCACCCACGCAATTTTTCGTCAGATAATGCCACCCGATGCTAATGCAGCGAGGGAAAAATGTGCCGCATACTGGAACCAGTTCCGACTATCTATCAGCGCTCACCTAGTTGGCAGTTGACGCCAATGTAACCCTCTACACAGAGGCATGTGTACTGTCCGTCCCCATCCACACATGTACCACCGTTCTGACATGGTTGAGACAGGCACTCATCAGTCACTAGAAGCAAACGTAAGTTGTTTATTTATACAGCGATAATTATGGCACTACGGGTATAACATGTAATAATTTATCTAAATAAACTCTCTCGCCACGGGTCAGAACTGAGGACAGTGACCTCACAATGACCTCACAGTTACATCGCTGCTACCTCACAATGACCTCACAGTGACGTCACAATGACCTCACAGTAACGTGAGATCTACCTCACAACAGCCTCAGTGACGTCACAATACCCTTACAGTGACGTCACAATGACCTCATAGTGACGTTACATTTATATCACAATGACCTCGCAGCGGTCTCACCTATCTCGCAGTGGATGCCTCCATATCCTGATGGACAAATGCAGTTATACCCGTTGACCTGGTCCACGCATGAGCCTCCCTCTTGACAGGGCTCCGACTGACACTCGTCCACATCTAAATAATTCAAAAAAGTTCACGTTTGGGGCATTTAAAGACTAAATTTAAATTTTAAGATGTTCTGTTTTATTTTGTTAGCCTGTATTGTCGCTGTGTGCATTTTACAGGGATGTCACTAATTTCTCTTTAGCTCAGAAAGCATGGGAGACTTCCATTGTAAGTAAAGGAGTATCTAAATGCATGAGGTGTATATTAGACTTTTATAAAGCAAAAATATAATTTTCCTGGAGATTTCTGCATTTTTCTATGGCATTCAATATCCGAAACCGTCGAGAAATTCATGACCTATTAACACAATTTTAAAGTACTAATATTTCAATTGAAAATGACGTAAGTTAGATTTACCAGTCTTTATCTCCATTAAGAAAAACCAAAACTACAAAGTGATAACTTAAAACGATGTTATTTTTTGAAGAATTTCGATTTTATCCCCTCGGTGATTAAGGGTAATTAATAACAACATTTCCAGGGAGCCTGATACTCACTTATCTGGCAGTTGCTGCCCGTAAAGCCTGGGAGGCAGACACACTGGTACTCGTCAATGCCATCCACACAGCGGCCCCCGTTCTGACAAGGATTCGAGTCGCACTCAACGACCTCTGCAAGAAACATGGGGCATGGAATATACCTTAAATCTTATCTATATATTAGTGATGAACAATGCAGTATTATAATGGTAATACATGTTGACCCAGACGTAAAAAGGGATGATTCAGAAGCTAAAGAAGGGGAACGTGCCCCCTTCCCCCTCCCCTCAACCCCAGAGTCGCCATTGCTTGACACTGTGGATAAATATGAACATCATTGTACATATACTAAGACGAGTTCAAATAGTAATTGAATATCTGTTAGAGCAAATATTGCCACAGACCAAGATTGACCATTGCCTACCTTGTTCACAGTTTATACCAGCGTAACCACGTGGACATTGACATTTGTACTCATTGACCCCGTCCTCGCACTGACCGCCATTTTCACAGGGTAAAGACGAGCACTCATCAATATCTGAAGAGGATTATAAAGAAAATATGTTCAAGATTAGGAAAAAGATATTATAAATGTCCCACGCCAAGATCCATTTACCTTTGTGCTGTAATTTTCTAAACAAACCTCTAAATTTGAATTGTTCGCTAGTTAAAAGTTAATTATCGACGCGACCACAAATTACACTTGCTTCAAATAAATCAATGGAATTTAACGTGTTCTTAAAATATGCGATCAGTGATAATCGAATTTATAATTACAAAGACTGATTTTCAAAGTCTTTTATTAAAAAAAAATGGCACCTATTTGGCATCGTGTTCCGGTAAAACCCGGCGGGCATGCGCACTGGAACATATTCTGTAGATTAGTGCAGATACCGCCGTTAATGCAGGGGTCTGATGCACACTCGTTCACATCTGGGAGAGAGAAAAATACCATCAGCATAACTAATATCTTGTGTCAGTGGCGTATTTACCCAATATGATATGAGTTAACCTCCGGGGGTAAGCCGTGTAAAAAATTAAGATTTCATCGAGCAAGAAACCAAAGCCTGTATTTAATAACCAACAAAACACTTCTACGATTAAAGAAAATCGTTTTTGTTTCTGAAACATTAGAAGATGAAATATTATATTTTTATTTGACGCAATGTTTAAGCACCAGCAAAGATCAGCTATTAGAGGCTACACAATCATTTTCTTTGACCAAAATGAGGTAAAGTTAAGATTACACGAGTAGTACCTTGTTCACAATTGGGGCCTATAATTCCTGGTGGACAAATACATCTGTACTGTCCAACCTCGTCCACACACGAGCCTCCATGCTGACAAGGAGCAGACGCGCATTCATCAATATCTACAGCAGGAACAGTGTTCGATTATTATACGTGTAATTTCTGTTGAAATGAACTCAAAGAAATTTTCTTTGCAACAGACACGGATAAGAGGCATCAATGTCCACGGCACATTTTTAAGACATAGCTGTGTGTATGATATATGAAATAATAATCGGCAAAACCAGCTCTTAATGTGAACGTTTTTAGATGAACATGTACATTATAAGTGCTTTTATGAATCAATATATAAAATAATATGCTTCATCTATTCAACTTTAAAACGGAGATGTCCAAAGATGAACAAATCTTCGACACAAGATCAACTCAAAACAAAAAAAAAGCCGTTCACAATGCATTTTGTCGAGCTACTGTAGCTAATGTGCACTAACTCCACGGGGACTCGGAATGGGACACTAAATACAGTCAGATTAACAGACTAACACACCTGCTCTTGGCGTTTAGTTAAATTTAGAAGAGATGGTGACTCTACGGGTACGTTGCAAAAAAAAAAAAAAATAAATAATAATAATAAATAAATAAATACATAAACAAATAAATAAATAAAGAGGTGGCGTGTCAGTCTGTAAATTATCGGTAATTATATAATGATACATGTAATAATATTTATAAACCGTGGAAAGAGAGACACCACTCTCATTATACATACCTATGCCGCAGTCAGGGCCAGCAAACCCTCGCTGACACAAACACCGGTAACCATTGACCTGGTCAACACACGTGCCGCCATTTCTACACGGCTGGGAGAGACATTCGTCTACTTCTGTTAGTAAAGGTGATTAGAAATTAGACACTCTGATCACATTCTGACGTATCTAAATTCATTGAACAAGGGAGAATGTGGAACGACTGTTCTGTTATCTATTTTATCAGGCCGTTGGGGTATTTATTTATTCAAATCCCGAATTTTTATGAAATAAATAAAATGCCAGGCTTTATGTTTGTAGAATACATTATAAATTTACATCACTTCCCTGATCTTCTACACATTCTAATCGACGGTTCCCTTTTATACGAAACCGCTGTCACGTTTAAAAGAAGAAAAATGCATTTACATATCAATCTAGATTTTCAGTATCTGTCTCCTTCACATGCTTAATTTGTTTTTGAACTTTATAAACTTGTAAACCCTACAGCTAAGATCTGTCTTTCTGTATGTCAAGAAAGATCGTAACATCGTAGACGTAAATTTAGTGTAAATACCACTACAATATATGTCGTGTTAAAAGAGATAACAGGAAAGGTACATACCCTCTTCACAGTTAACTCCCGTGTACCCATCCGGGCATGTGCACAAGTAGCCATTGACCCTATCATGACAGGTGCCATCATTTTGACACGGTTGAGAGGCACACTCGTTTATATCTAAAACAAGATGAACATATTTTTATCTATATCAACATACGTGCAGAGGATATAATTGTTCAATATTATGTGTGTGATTTGTTACAAAAAAAAAGATTCCCTAGATATTTCATTTCAAAAATATACTAAGTAAACCATCGGTGTGTACATTTATGTAGCCTACACCTTATTTTGAAACAAATCCTCAGATCACAATACTTCAGCAACTACTCTTCATTCTTTATGAAAATGCTACAAAAAGTTTTTGTGTTCCTTATTTTTTATTCATTTTTAATTCTGGTGTTTTCATTTTCCTGTAATATTATAGCTTCCTTCGGCGACCAAGCGACCACAGTTTCCATACAGTACCTTGTTGACAGTGTACCCCCGTGTATCCCGGAGTACAGACACACTGGTATCTGCCCACACCGTCCACGCAGGTTGAGCCGTGCAGACAGGGCGCACTGGCACACTCGTCAACATCTACACAGAGAAAAAAAGATATTGAACATTAAAATTATCGTGATTGGTAAAATTTAAGTATTCTGGTTCCAGTATTGTAGTGGGTCCTCAGCACTAACTGTACTACTGGTACATGTGGTAGAAATATAGCATCTCCACGACATAGTGAACAACTATTTCGCCTGAGACAAACTGGTCATCGTATACGTTCAGGGTATCTATCAATGGAAATCATTCGAGATAGTCTAAAAGGAGGCGATAGCGGCACCGCCTGACGTCATACGTGCGAGAATACGCGTGATGTGGGATTAACTTTTCAGCAATAAGGGTGAAACACTATGTACCGGAAATGTTGTTTTAGAAACCAATACTAAAGAGACACACAAGCATGTACTTTTCTTTTATAGACTGTAATTTAACAGAACTAGCTAGTACCGGTAGGATAAGTAAATATGTATGACACATCATTTTCACTCAAGTCTCAGATGTGACCAAGCCACCAGAGAAGCTGTACCAAATAGTCATCAAGGAAGTCATTCTGTAAGTCTGCACAAAATGCTGTTTTCAGTATACCTATTTCACAGTGAACTCCGCCGTATCCCAAGGGGCACTGACATCTGTAGCTACCTATGGTATTGATACAGGCTCCGCCATGTTCACACGGGTTCTCCTCACACTCGTCTATATCTGGAAGTCAGGTTTCAAATATGAAATGTTAACTTGGGAAAGATATTGCCCTTGCTTTCTAGATAAAATGCTAAAACAATATTATTCTAGAATATTAGACCAATAATAACAAGAGGCAAACACTCGGGTGCAACATCCATGTGATCAAGGACTATAAATGGTGAATGGAAACGTAGTGTACAGTGTATGGCTCCGAGTCCCAAAGTCAAGTATAACTCTGTTTTATAAATTATGCTGTTGAAAATTTTCGTCAGCTACACGTGTGTAATTTCCACAGAAATGTAAATTGCTTTGCCAATATCCAGAGGAATTAACGGATATTTATACGATCAACATTTTGTGGCTTTGGATACAGTTAAGCAATGAAGTGATAATGCTTAAATTACTAGTACAAAGAAAATCTTGGCAAAACTTTGCAACATGAAATCACATCTACCACAAGACCCTTCATTTACTAAAGGTCTTATGTTCATTGTAGTTCCAGGCTGCTAGAAGCATGCCACAGTCACCACGCTTATATAGTAAAGACCTGTAGAGTGCCAACTCTTTTTCACATATTTACCATTCTCACAGTTGGTCCCTGTTATTCCTGGCGGACAGATACACAGATAGCCGTTGACCTGATCTACGCATGCGCCATCGTGACAAGGAGAGGATGCACATTCGTCCACGTCTTTTGTGAAAATGAAATTTATAATAAATTGTATGATATAAGATATGTAAGTTCATACCGTAATGTCTTTCATTTATATAATTAGATGTACCTCAGTATCATTCATGTGATACATTAATATTCATTATTATTATCTTCTTCTTCTTCTTCTTCTTCTTCTTCTTCTTATTATTATTATAAAATAGGTACGATAATTCACAGGATATCATTTGTTTCTGCATTTCGTGGATAATCGTAAACTTCGTAGTAAAGCAACCAGATTTCTTTGCTACAACATCATACTCGTAAGATATCCACTAAAATACATGTGGCTTAATTAATTAAGTTGTTAAAGTACACCGTAAATAGCAGGCGCTTTAGCAAGGTTCTATTGAATGCTTGAATGCTATAAAATAATAGATACATATACTAACGCCTACCACCATAGCAGCCCGTGGATAGGGTATTTAGCTCCCCCCTTTTCAACCACATCAGGACATGCGAAGTAATCGGAGGAGGGGGTGGGGAAAAGGGGAACACCCAATCCGCCTATTTTTTAAAATGGTAACCCCGCCCCCTCCTTCATAAGATCTGACGCCGTTGAATTCAAAATTTTTGTATAAATGTTCAAGTCTCACTTACCTTGTTCACAGTTTATCCCCGTGAAGCCAGGTGTACAGAGACACCTGTATCTTCCTATCTCCTCTACACATGTTCCACTGTTCTGGCAGGGAGCAGAACTGCACTCCTCGATCTCTGAGGAGGAGAAAAAACATCATTAGCTCTGCAGTCATTTACTGTGGGGATACAGATTGGTTAAAGTCAACTAATGAAAATCAGCATTGGGTGAGACGTATACATAATTAACAGGGGCGGATTGAGGCGATCTTCTGGGTCTTCCGGAAGACGGTCAAATTGCAGTTTACATTGATGAGTACCTAATTTTTTTCTGTTAAGACGGTCAAAAAATGAAGGATGGATCAAAAACATACTGTGGAAGACTGTCAGAAATATCTCTGTATCCACCCCTGATTAAATGGCAGAGCGCGATGCAATGTTTGGCAGAACACCGTCAAAGTGTCACATCTACCGGTATATTGTACGTCACTCGGCACCTGACTAATATCGCGTCACACACCAGTACTACTCTCTGACCACAAAGTCTGCTAGGAGTCGGTTACAAAATTATTGTTACCTTTAAGTAGTGTATACTAACTTTGAGGTCCCTGATATTAGAGGGTATACTAGTACTGCTAGTAATTGAAACGGGGCATCGTTCCAAATTCAGCGCTTCTCAACCTAGAAGTTCAGTCGGGGCCGTAGCGATAGTCCGAAGGTTCAATAGTCCGAAGTTCATTGGTCCGAATGTTCACTGTAAAACCCTTGGACCAATGAACCCTTGATTAAAAAATCGATGAAAATGTTACCACTTTTCGGACCAATGAACCTTCGGACTATCGAGACGACCCCGTTCAGTCCAGTTTTCTCAGTGATGTAAAAGATATCAGGCAGGAATGGATGTATCATGCTCATGTATATTTTCCTAATACATATTACAGTTCTGATCTCTACTTGTGTCACGTTAAACTGGCCCATCTATGAATCAAACTCTCACCTGTTTCACAATTAATTCCCGTGTAGCCGGGAAAGCAGTCGCACTCGTAGCCATCACGTAGATCGTTGCACCTTACAGCGTAGACGCATGGGTTGGACGCACATTCGTCTATTTCTGAAAGGAGACAAAGGCAGTTTGTGCATATTTGACTTTCATTCTTGGTTCTTTGTTTGCTAGCATCATCGGTTAATGCTTATTAAAGAGGGTCGAAAATGCTTTATGGAGGATATTCCAAAGATGGATTTAGGAGAGAGAGAGAGAGAGAGAGAGAGTGTGTGAGAGAGAGAGAGAGAGAGAGAGGGAGAGAGAGAGAGAGAGATGAGCCTACCTTGTTCGCAGTCTTTCCCCGTGTAGCCGTCTACACAAGAGCAGCTATAGCCGTTGACTAAGTCCGTGCAAGTTGCCTCGTTTTGACACGGGGAAGTGGCGCATTCGTCAATATCTGGAATCACAGGCGGTAAACCAAATGAGAAAATAAAACACGTGTCAGTGATTGATTGAATCATGATCGGTTTCTTACCATGAAGATAAAGATAAATAAAGGTCTAATATCTGGTGGGGCTGAAATATTTTAATAACACAATTTTGAACTTATTTAGGCACTACGTGGCATGTATGTTTTATATAAAAAGTACCTTTTAAGAATCTTGCTGAATGGATGTAGCTAGGGACCGTTTAACAATCGCACGTGACAATCTTGTAGGCAAATAGCAAGTCGAAGTAACATTGTCAACTATATCTATTATATCATTAAGCAGGCCAAATCAATCTCAAATATTTCAGTCGTTTTGAGAGACCTCACCCACTCATCCAACTGTCATACCTTCACCACAGTAGCGTCCAGTATACCCAGGAGGACAGATACAGCGATATCCGTCCACGTCATCAGTGCACGTGGCGCCATTACGACAAAGATTGTCTTCACATACTTCAAAAACTGCAAGTATAGCAACCATAAACTTCACATATAGGTATCAACACAGTGACAAAACCCAACGCACACGGCGAGTCGCCGGCTGAGCTGCAGCTCTGGTGAAGTAACTGAGCTTGTTTGCTGCACGTGAGAGGTTACACGAGACCTGGATCAAATCTGGTAAAACCGGATATCTAGCTTGCTACATATCAAATATACCAGACTGCAGTATTATGGATATTTTAAGATGCATCTTTTAAGAAATGACTTTGATATCTAAAATTCTCTGTGCGTCAAAATGAAAAAAAAAAAAACGGTGCATGTAATAACCTGCAATAACACTCAATGTTTAAAAAATTCAAAAGAGTATATAGGCCTACTGGTTTAATTCCCGAAGCAATAAGATTTCAGTAAATGGTACCAATTACCTATTTCGCAATATCTCCCCGTGTAACCTGGTAGACATTCACAGGCAAAGGTTCCGACCAGATCCGTGCATCTGACGGCGTGAACACAGGGATTTGGAGAGCAATCATCGATATCTGTAACGGCACATGAAATATTGTTATTGAATATTCAGGGGCGGATTGAGGCCGTCCTCTGGGTCTTCCGTAAGACGGTCAGATTTTCAAGTTTACATTAACAGGTATCTTATTTTTTCTGTCGGAAGACGGTCAGAAATGGAGGATGGATCAACAAAGATAATTTGGAAGACTGTCAGAAAATGTCTCTGGATCCGCCCCTGATTATTGTTATTATGCAGTAGAACAACTAAGTGACATGTCCCGTTACTGTTCATTTTAGATTTTATCGTATGTCAAGACAATGCAAAAGAAGCGCAAATCATAAACTTGGGGCAGACACCTGAACATCTTTTATATTTTCTATTTATTTATTTATTTATTTATTTTGACGTCGAGAACGATGCTTGAAAGGGCAGGTAATAGATAAATTTTATTTTCCACTGACCTATTTCACAGTTTATTCCCTCATAGCCCTGTACACATTGACAAGAATAGTATCCAATCTCATCACTGCACGTGCCTCCATTCTGGCACGGGTTGGACAGACATTCGTCTGTATCTTAACAAAGAAAAATTTACGAACACATTTGAAATTACAAGTCTGCACCAAATATCACATTTATGCATCTAAAATCAGAATTAAGCTTTTGCATTTCAGTTGAAATACAGGTATTATATGTGATGGCCTGTAGTTCGATGTTACAAAAAACTCGCGTCATTCGAAATTCATCGATTGCCTGGGGAACGTGTTTACATTTAAAGGTATGTTATTATTCTGATGATTTATTCATGCGACCCAAGCGGTGTCAAGTCGATTTTTATGAAAAGAAATCAATAGATTAATTAATCTATCGCGTTTAGCGCAACAAATGACAAGAGATTGGTTGTAATCCAACAGGTGTTGAAAGTTGGGATCTCAGAGGAATATCAAAGGCTGTGTGTGTGTGTGTGTGTGTGTGTGTGTGCGTGTTCGTGTGTAAGTGCACGTGTACTTGTGTGTTCTAGGCAAATGGGCCTGGCTTTCTACTTTAAAGACATACCCACATCCTGCAATGAACAGGGTTCATATTTACTCTGGTTTGTAACCTGTATTTATACTTACCACACCAAATACTTACCGATTTCGCAATGAGGTCCTTCGTAACCGCGTAGACACCTGCATTCATAATCATCCCCGATTGCAATACACTCTCCGCCATTTTTACACGGCTGTAAGGCACACGGGTGTGTATCTAACATAGGACAAGAAGCAAAGTGCAACTGAAAACATTTAGTAATGCAATATGTGTATATGTATAGATGGCAAAATACACACACTGGACAAAAGAAGTGTCACCCCCTAACTCAGAGTAATAAAAGTAGGCAGATCTTGGGTACTTATAATGCCTGGTTTACTTATAATGTGACTAATGAGTATAAAACCGCTATACCATGGAATTCTATTGTTGGTCTTGTACATGTACAGCAAATGTTATTCCTGTCTTCCTCCAATATGGCAAGATACAGGCAATTATCTAACGGTTATAGGTGCAAGTTATTAACCTGAAGAGGCGGAATATTAGCAATGTCAGAATATCGATACAATTGAATTGTTCAGTCAGAACCGTGCAGAGGGTCTGATCTCGGTATAGAAACACTGGATCAAGAGACAAATTGCCTCTGATGGGTCATCCAAGAAAAAATACTGGCCGTGAAGACCGACGACTGATTTTGATGTCCAGGTTGTCAAAGTTCGACATTGCTGGTNCTGAACGCATCAGACAATTATATGAAACCTTGCTTCGTAGACTGGCACCTATTATTAGGTCACGTGGCTATGCCACTAAGTACTAATTTTGGACTTGAAACTGCATATTTTGGTAGAATGTATATTTTGTTCTCATTTTGTGATTTTTTGTGAAATTTGATGTTAATAAAATGATACCAGGAGCATATCATTCCGCAGTCATTTATCTCCCCCATAGTATTGGCTCAGTAGGGGTGACACTTCTTTTGTCCAGTGTGTGTACTACTACTTTAACAACAACGACAACAACTATTACTACTATAACTACTACTACTAATATAACTACTGCAAATTATTATTACTACTACATATACTACTACTGCACATATTACTACTACTACTACTTCTACTAAAACAATATATGATTCCTCCTCACCCATCTCACAGTTGACACCCACGTATCTCGGAGGACAGACACAGGTGTAACTGTTCTTCCCGTCATAACAGCTGCCTCCATGTTGACATGGCTCTGACAAACACTCGTCCACATCTGGAAAATGTGAAAAGAAGGTCTAAGCTAGCTTTTCACACATTGTCCTTGGTGAACTATTAAGATACTCGGCTAGCATTTACAAAAAGTCCAGGGGGACTATAAAACGCTGTGGAACTAATGGAGTCCAACAGGACTTCTATCGGGCGTCCTATCTATTTTCTAAAAGACGTCCAAAAATTGACTGTAGATTCTTCTTTATAATACGCTTTACAATAAAGGTCTACTGTTGTAGGCTAACTTAAAGAAATGACTGCCGATTGACGTACGATTACATTTCTTCTTAATTCATGTAGGGTTTCAGTTAATTATTGCAGTCCAGCGCAGAGCTGTATAGAAGATGGGGTTAACGTCTGGAATGAGTGCTATGACATAAATGCCAATGCAGGTAGTACGCACGTGAATGCAGTGACCTTCAGCACGTGATGACCTTACTGAGGTCAAACTATATTTAGGCCATTGTACAAACATCGTGTTGTATGCTGGTAGCAAGGGAGGTCATATTAGTCCAGTTTTAATTTTTATTGTTTTAATTGCCAAATCCTTTTCTCTCAACTCTACTGAACACTTCAATCAAATTACATCTTTTTTAAGTTGTTGAAAAAAAAAAAACAGAATATCGTCTAAATATTCCCAGACAGCCTTTATCATGTGACCCTTTTTTGTTGTTGTTGACTCTGTCTGAATCAGGGACAGAGTAAACAGGTAATAGCCGAAAAACGGAGCTAGATCTTCATCTCAAAGACTCTGTTGTCAAGATTTATTGCTTGAATATATAACTTTACACATACACAGAGGAAGTTCAGCTTTAAATCCGAAAAAAGTTGTTCAAAAGAAAAGAAGAAGTAAGCTGTTCGACACACGCCTATTCGTAAAAAGTCAATCCTCGGTAAGTTCACTTCTCCGGATAACAAATGTATGTATATTTTAAATTACACATTACACGGATTAAATATACGAAGAAAAAGAATAAAACGTGTTGTTTGTGGCACATTTTTATACATATTTCATGTCCAAAACGGACTTCTCTTTTTTTTCACTTTCGCAAACACTGCGCCCTGTTTCCACAGCGCTCTGACAAACAACTTTAATGTCAAGGTCACATCTTTGTATTGCAGCGTTCGTATAATAATGCATTATTTACTCAGCGTGTGGTGACACAAAGCAACAGCGTACTCTTTCTTTAGTAATTCTTGTAAGAATAAGCTTTCACTTAGACCAAAACACCACAAATGTGACAATAGTCTTATTCAACGTAACCCTTTAGAATACAACAACAAAAGGTACTTTTTTCTTTATCCAAATTCCTCGTACAATTGAGCTACAAATTAATATATCTATTTAAAAAAAGCGACGTTTAGTTTATCGGTAGGACATAATGGCATCAATGACATCAATGCAGCACGAATAAAATGTAATAGTGACCATCTTATCTAAATAAAAGCATTTGCATTATTCTGAAAACGAAACATGATCAATAGACTGGGTTCCCATACCTAGATCAACCTAACAGGATCGATCCATCTCCGAGGGGTTTCTAGCTTAATTGCTGGTTGCTTACGCGGCTTAGATATCTGGCACGCCCACTGAAGCTGCAAGCTGCTAAACGATAATTAATTACCCCCTAGATCGACCTACAGTTAGTACCATAGGGTCTGGGAATGGTCCCTTAGTACATGTACGTGTTCTTGCCTATGAAATATTACATACTCTTATCACTTTAGCGTTGAATAATTTTATGTTGGCTAAATTAAGTCGCAAATTGCCAGTTGTTATGTAGAATAGTAGTAGGACTGGTATGGTCTCCGCTTTCTTTGATGTAAATAAGTTATGATTTATCCTGAATAAAAGGCTGATGCATTGTAAAGTGATATTAATCTTCTGTCTTCGAAGTAAAATCTAAATTTTTGATAGGCCACAGCAAAGTTTACCTTTGTAGAGCTGCATTTTAGAATACTTTTTGCAACTGAACGCATTTTGCGACCATGATTTTTTTAATCGCTGATACGTTTTGAAGTACTATAAAGATAGATTTGGAATGAGAACGGGGTTGCCCAGGCTAGCTACAAGTGATTCTGGTCAGGCTGCTCCAGGGCCGGACGATTATATATGTAATTTATTTCACATTGTAATTTCGAGTGGTTGGGGTGGTTGATTCTTTATTTTTCTACATAGCAGTATCTGCTATCTAGTCTTAGATCAGAAGTTTTAGGAACTTGAGACGTCGGGGATTGATCAAACTGATAAACCTATCACTTTACTTTAACAAAATAACCATGAGAAAAACGAAAATATTCTGATGAACCTTAAAAACCGTCATCACATTTTATTTTGCAGATCTGAAAAATGGATAGTTTGGATACTCCACAAAAGAAGAAGGCAAACCATTCCTGCATGCAACTCTTAATAAGTCGTGCAGAGGACGTACTTCGAGATGTTCTCAATACTCAGTTACAATCACGATATCCAGGGCTCTATGGACCATCAAGTAATGGAGTGATAACTGATGTCTTAAATGACAAAACTGTGACACATACCTTGCTCAGTCTGAAGTCAAAGGGAGTGAAGAGAAAGAGGATTTTAGACCAAGGTCAAATGGATATTCTCTATCCTCCTGCGAGCCCCGCCCCTCCTGTGACATTGCAAGACTTAGGTATAACCCTGATCTTAGTCTTATTAAGAAACATCACAAACTTGAATCCTCATGCAAAATGGGACAATCCTCCTGCCACGGATACATCGACAGAGGCCAACATCGCCAGGGTGAAGGGGTACCGCAATAAGCACGCTAATGGGACAGATGGTCTCTCAGACGCAGACATTCAGAGCCAGTTCGCTGATTTGAAAGCTATCCTGCTGTCTCTGTCGACATTGTATACTAATGATGACTATGACAAACTGCTGATTCAGCCCCTCGATGCCTCAGGTAGGTTTTGGCACAATTACTTAATACCTTTTCAACACCTGTACAACCAGACAGAATAAATAAGCACAAATGCACTTGTTTGTGACACACACACACACACACACACACACACACAGAGATGCACACGAGCGCGCGCATGCGTTCACACACGCTACAATCAGGCAGTATATTTTCAGGTTTTGTACCGTTAGATTTAGTGGTCCAAATTTATTTATTTATTCATTTTTACTTAAACATTTTAATTAGTGACCAGAAACTATGTATCCTTATTAACCCACAGAATGATTTATCTCACAGAGCAGTATCTCGATTAACAGAATTAACAAAAAGGTCCATCTCTTTAACTTGTGTATATTGTAAGAATCATAGTCAAGTATCATATTGAATTACTTATTGATATATTATTATTTTTCTTCTCTGTACCATGTAAACAAACAGGTGAATCTGAATCCAACAAAATAAACACGTAACATTATACGCTGAAATAAATTTTATTATTATTATTAATTTCATTAAAAACGTACACCACGTTTCTACCTTGGAGCTACTGTGGTTTTAAAACGAAAGTGCACACAACGTAACTGAAATTTGTTCTTTCAGAAACCCTTTGTCAGTTGCTCTCCACGAAGTTACCCAGAACAAACACTGAGTTGAAGGGCCGTGATGACATCATTACCACGATACAGCAACATATCAGAGATAAAGCTCCACTCATTCTCCTGACCGGGATGGGGGGTATTGGTAAGACCAGCATAGCAGTTAAGGTTGGGCAAAACTTTCAAAATGTGCTATACATTGATATGAGACACGTTACAGATCTTAACTCTGTCAGAGTTTCACTTGTCCAACACTATCACCCAACACACCCTTTGAAAGATTTATACCCCTATTATAACAGCATTTTCAAACATACATTGTCTTGTTTGACTACAGATACACTCCTTATCCTGGATAATAGCGACCACGTTCTAAGTTCGAACAGGGAGGAGTTTTGTGATTTTTTAAAGGATGTAACTGATTCAACGAATCATATCACTTTGTTATGTACCAGTCGTGAAAGGTTTGATTCCAAAACACACAACAAAGTTGTGGTAGACATTGGCCCACTCGATAAAACCTCATCACGTGAAGTCTTATGGGAAAGAAAACCAAGCAGCCCCTCGGACAGTGAGTCAAAGGCTTTAGTCGAAATGGCTAACATGTGTAACCATAACCCTCTAGCTTTAAAATTGCTAGCAGCACTACTTGATGAAAAAAACACCGAAGAGGTATTAGAAAAAATGAAAATGCAAACGATGTTACCCACTCTTGTCATTCCCAGCGTGCCAACAGAGATCACAGCTTGCCTTGATATATCTTGTGAAATGTTAGAACCGGAGGCAGAAAAGGTGTTTCATGCACTGCGTGTATTTCCCGTTGCTTTTTACCTCAAAGAAGTCTCTGATATTTTCGGGTTAAAACAAAATGATTGTGAACATATTCTAGACAGTCTTGCCAAAAAATCCCTCATTAGTGCAGATAATGGCATCTATGACATCCACCCTTTACTTAGGGAATATGCAGAATACAAAGCCCAGAAATGCAGCAATTACATTTGTGAAATCCAAGATGCCTATTGCAGTTATTATATAGAAGCATTCAGAATGGTAGAATACAAAAGTGTTGGTGTTTCAAAGTCAAGTCTTCTATCGGTGATGTTACCACATATAAAACACACTGCTGATTTACTTATCAAACAATTAGAGTCCCAGGAGGTGTCTAAAAAACGGGAAAGTGTAGACATATTAGCTTCGATTGCAAACACATTCTGTCACATTTATCTCTGTAATAATGCTCTACATATTTTAAAATTAGTGGCCCATGAACAGGAGGCACTGTTAGGACACAAACATCCCGACACTGCCACCACATACAGCGATATTGGTAATGTTCTTCAGGCCATGGGTGAGTATGAAAAGGCAGTTGATTATCACAATAAATGTCGTGCGACGAGGGAAGAGNTTATTATTATTATTAATTTCATTAAAAACGTACACCACGTTTCTACCTTGGAGCTACTGTGGTTTTAAAACGAAAGTGCACACAACGTAACTGAAATTTGTTCTTTCAGAAACCCTTTGTCAGTTGCTCTCCACGAAGTTACCCAGAACAAACACTGAGTTGAAGGGCCGTGATGACATCATTACCACGATACAGCAACATATCAGAGATAAAGCTCCACTCATTCTCCTGACCGGGATGGGGGGTATTGGTAAGACCAGCATAGCAGTTAAGGTTGGGCAAAACTTTCAAAATGTGCTATACATTGATATGAGACACGTTACAGATCTTAACTCTGTCAGAGTTTCACTTGTCCAACACTATCACCCAACACACCCTTTGAAAGATTTATACCCCTATTATAACAGCATTTTCAAACATACATTGTCTTGTTTGACTACAGATACACTCCTTATCCTGGATAATAGCGACCACGTTCTAAGTTCGAACAGGGAGGAGTTTTGTGATTTTTTAAAGGATGTAACTGATTCAACGAATCATATCACTTTGTTATGTACCAGTCGTGAAAGGTTTGATTCCAAAACACACAACAAAGTTGTGGTAGACATTGGCCCACTCGATAAAACCTCATCACGTGAAGTCTTATGGGAAAGAAAACCAAGCAGCCCCTCGGACAGTGAGTCAAAGGCTTTAGTCGAAATGGCTAACATGTGTAACCATAACCCTCTAGCTTTAAAATTGCTAGCAGCACTACTTGATGAAAAAAACACCGAAGAGGTATTAGAAAAAATGAAAATGCAAACGATGTTACCCACTCTTGTCATTCCCAGCGTGCCAACAGAGATCACAGCTTGCCTTGATATATCTTGTGAAATGTTAGAACCGGAGGCAGAAAAGGTGTTTCATGCACTGCGTGTATTTCCCGTTGCTTTTTACCTCAAAGAAGTCTCTGATATTTTCGGGTTAAAACAAAATGATTGTGAACATATTCTAGACAGTCTTGCCAAAAAATCCCTCATTAGTGCAGATAATGGCATCTACGACATCCATCCTTTACTTAGGGAATATACAGAATACAATGCCCAGAAATACAGCAATTATATTAATGGAATTCAAGATGCCTATTGCAGTTATTATATAAAAGCATTCAAATTGGTAGAATCCAAAAGTGTTGGTGCTTCAAAGTCAAGTCTTCCATCACTGATGTTACCACATATAAAACACACTGCTGATTTACTTATCAATCAATTAGAATCCCAAGAAGTGTCTAAAAAACGGGAAAGTGTAGACATATTAGCTTTGATTGCAAACACATTCTGTCACATTTATCTCTGTAATGATGCTCTACATATTTTGAAATTAGTGGCACATGAAAAAGAGGCACTGCTAGGTCACAAACATCCCGCTATGGCCGCCACATACAACGATATTGGTAATGTTCTTCAGGCCATGGGTGAGTATGAAAAGTCACTTGTTTATCACAATAAATGCCTTGTGGCGAGGGAAGAGACACTTGGTCCTAAAGACCCTGAGACCGCCGACACATACAACAATATTGGTAGTGTGCTTGGGAAAATGTGTAAGTATCAAAAGTCGAGGTATTATCACAATAAATGTCTTGCGGTGAGAGAGGAGATGCTTGGTCCTAAACACTCTGATACTGCCACCTCCTACAGCAATATTGGTAGTGTACTGAAGGACATGGGTGAGTATAAAGAGGCACTTAATTATTTTAATAAATGTATTGCCGTGAGAGAGGAGATACTTGGTCCCCAACACCCTGATACTGCCACCTGCTACAACAATATTGGAAGTGTGCTGCAGGACATGGGTGAGTATAAAGAGGCGCATGATTATTACAATAAATGTCTTGCGGTGAGAAAGGAGATGCTTGGTCCCAAACACCCTGATACTGCCACCTCCTACAACAATATTGGAAAGGTAATGCAGGCCATGGGTGAGTATAAAGAGGCTCGTGATTATTACAATAAAGGCCTTGCAGTGCGAAAAGAGACATTAGGTCCCAAACACCCTGATACTGCCACCACATTAAACGATATAGGAAGTGTGCTGCAGGGCATGGGTGAGTATAAAGAGGCGCATGATTATTACAAAAGATGTCTTGCGGTAAGAGAGGAGATGCTTGGTCCTAAACACCCTGATACTGCCACCACATACAACAATATTGGTAGTGTACTGCAGGACATGGGTGAATATAAAAAGGCGCGTGGTTATTACTATAAATGTCTTGCAGTGAAGGAGGAAATGCTCGGTCCCAAACACCCTGATACTGCTACTTCCTACAACAATATCGGTCTTGTACTGCATTACATGGGTGGGTATAAAGAGGCACTTAATTATTTTAATAAATGTCTTGCCGTGAGAGAGGAGATGCTTGGTCCTAAACACCCTGATACTGCCACCACATACAACAATATTGGTGGTGTACTGCAGGACATGGGTGAGTATAAAGAGGCACTTGATTATTACCATAAATGTCTTGCAATGAAGGAGGAAATGCTCGGTCCCAAACACCCTGATACTGCCACCTCCTACAACAATATTGGCAGTGTGCTGCAGGACATGGGTGAATATAAAGAGGCACTAGATAATTACAATAAATGTCTTGCAGTGAGAGAGGAGATACTTGGTCCCAGTCACCCTGTTACTGTCAGAACAATCCAAAGTATCGATCAGGTATCGAAAAAGTACCTTGGGAAGTAATTCCGAGTCCGTAGGTGCACCATAGTAGAGTCAACGTGTCCATAACATCCTGTATGGAACCAATAATTTCTCGTGTCTCAAAGATTATTCCTATTTTAGAAAATCCCCTCCTTTCTTAAAATCCATTCATGGGAAAACAAGGACACTACTTGACTCTACCAATCAGTGCTTACGTCAGACTAATCTGTCTAGACTTCCCGTAAAGACACATACAAGATTGAGTGTTTATCTATAATGTGACATTTAAACATGCGTGTATTTGTCCCCAATCCGCACAATTGTTATATAAACATTATGCAGCACATGACACGGAATTCAATGTTTTCTCCTTCCCAACCATCATAATATTCCACTTCAGTATTTCTGGGCTATTGTGTTCTGCTTTTCATAAACACGAAAGTATCAAAGTTGAAACAACTGTAAATACATATAAATACATTCTTCTACAAGCAGTGGTATACTATCCATATGTCAGTCCTACTTCTCATTATCCAGTCTTTGTGACCGCCTCTACATACACAAATAAGCGCACACCCATGCACGCACACACACACACACACACACAATTTAAAATAAACTCAAGGGGTTTACACTGAGTTATTCATAGACTGTCTTTCATGAATATTTCTTAAAAGTCAAGAAAATATGAGATTTATGGTCGCAATCATTTTGACAAATGATTTATGAAGTTTTATCAAATATGTAGCTGTTTACAAACTTGGTTTTGCAAGTAATCGACTGTATTAGTCTTACTTTGTTTCAATATTCATCTTCTCCTCTGTAGGACAAATTTATCGCATGAATCATGATACACACACACACACACACACACACACACACACAGATATAAAATTATGGAAGAGATGTCTCACAAAGTATTCGATTCAGCAAGTACATGTATAGCATTTTATATGCATACCATGTTATTTATCTGTTTAAAATGAAACAGGCAAATGCCCTTTTTGAAAACCTGGGCCCATTTTAACAACATTGGATAACACTATCCACTTGTTGAAATATTTATCCTCTGGACTGTTATCCTGTGAGTATAGTAAGGTTTTCTTAACGCTAGAGACTTATTTTTGTTTTTGATATTGCTATCCAGTGGTTGAAAATAGCCCTTACCCTCAGGGTAAGTGTCCAGAAGATAACAATATTGTCCAATGGATTGTGTTATCCACAGTGTTGATGAAACCAGTGTGACAGAAATGGAACTCCTAGGAATGGAAGTCTGAGGTCCCGAATAATAAGTACAGGTTAGGGTTTGTTGGAGTATTGGTGGTTAGCATATAGGACGAATGTCACCTGTACAAAGTAATGGGAAGCGGACTACGGTTCCTAGCGGACTTCCATTCCTGTTACACCTGGTCCTGTATTGCAGTACCCCCAAGGTTTTGAAATGCAGTTATGACCGAGTGGTAGCTTAGTAGCTTAGTTTTGATGTAATATGAATCTGTCCTGTTTATAAAAAAGTTATTATATTCTGATGGATATTTTATGTTATAGATAAGGTATTTTAAAAAAGTTATCACTTCAAAGTGTTGTTTTGTGTAGCGTTACAAGATGGTTTGTTTGGCTCATTTTTATGGTCGATTGGGAAAACTATATTAAGGAAAGACCATGTAATACCGTATTAAGGTGTTTGTAGTTTACACCAAAGAATGTGCTGTATCAATGTTGCTAGAATATACACAGTGAACAACTAGTTATGGATGATCATCTTTGGTACGTTTTATATATTTTAAAAATATAGCATTGGAAGCATGTGTAGAAGAACTTGGAAGATATATAAATCTTATAATAATATAACTATGTTACTACTAAATGATGAAGGTTGACTGTCTTTACGATAGTCATACTATCCGTATATCTTCATCGTAAAAGAGCTGTTAGCACTTGTAATATGATAAAGAGAAAATTAATAGTTGTAAAATACGGTAATAAATTGTGCATAACTATCTGTACTTCTTGTCTTGCTTGCCAAGTCGTTGTTTTATCTCTCTGTATTAGAGAATAACTAAATATCAATCTTCGTAAGAGAACTACACTGCTTAAAAGCAGTACATCGCTTAAATTGTGCTTTTAATCCCATATACCAAACATCACATGCTTTAGGGTACAAAAAAGAAAGTATCGGTGTAGATACTCACATTTTTATTATTTACTTTATTCAAATTAAAAATAATCACCCCTTCAAATCTGGCGTTCTATTGTGATATTTCAAAGAGGTAAAATATCCATAAAATCGTAAATGAATCTTGTAATTCGGTTCGGTTCTTTCTGAGAACCACCAGTGCTTGACACAAATGGATCCTACCAATAAGTTATTTGTTGTGGCAAATGTTCAAATGCATTCCATTTGATATGGTTAATGTTCAAATGGTTTTTATCAGTCACAAAACTAGGTCAGTCGCGATACTGCATAAAGTACAAAAGAAAAAATAACGGACCTTTTCACGGAAAAGGTCGGATCATCCCCCCCCCCCNTTTAATTTCACCTGCTACATATTTCACGACGTGGATAAAATCCCTATGAACAATTCACTGCTCTATAGATGTCCGCCTGGCAGAGTTCTTCATTTTGCCTCCGCTGAGGATAGGTTTCAGTACAGGTCTGTGATAATAATCCGCTACACAGCCTCTCTCTCGCTCATGTTCTGTCTCTCTCTCTTCGATTTCAGAATCTCGATTCTCTCTGCCAATGAAAATTATCACTGAAAATGCGACAATAAGGCGATCTCGGCTGTTTAAAAAGATCTTTAAAAGACTGTTTTATCTATTTTGTCAATTTCAAATCCAAGTATTTTACGAAATAAACAAATAAATAAAAAGATAAAAATTATAAGTAAATGAATAAATATAAAGCTTTGCATGTTGTGACTTCAGGCTTCCCTATACAAACTACATCGGAGGAGTTATTGGATTCACTCCTGACACATTCAAAAAGATAAATGGGTTTGCTAATAACTACATAGGATGGGGTGGTGATGACGACGACATTTTTCTAAGGTAAGTGGGATGCTTATGGACGCCGGTACTGTAGGTGATTTATCCCTTCATCATTAAGGTAATTTTTAAGCAAATATAACCCTTTTCGGTAAAAGCATTAACAGTTGATCGCACTGGTTCTTCTGAATATCAGTTTGGGATGGCATACACTCACAAGTTACCAGTAGATACAAATGCAACTAAAATTAGTCCTCATTACCGTTAAGTAAGAGCGCATAAATAACAAGCTGATCCGCGGACTAAATATGACCGACTGTTGCTGTTGGCTGTTTTGAATGCACTGTTATATCAGAGTGAAATAAGCAGGGGTGGATCCAAGATTAATTGAAGGGCGTGGGGTTGGGGGCCGCTTAAGGACCCCGTAAAAATGGCATTTTAGAGGGCAAAAAGTGCCATTTGGAATGGTTTAGAGCTATGATTCAGCTAGTCAAAATTATAATATCAAGACGGGGCCATTGGTGTGATTTTTTTCAGAATTCGAAAGGGGGTGGGGGTGGGGGGGTCAGGATACCCCTGACCCCCCCCCCCTCTAAATCCGCCATTGATAAGCCCCTGGTAAGGGCGACAGATGGTTGTTTTGGATAAGGGGTAGAGTTTACAGCCTCTCCCGCCAAAATCACAACGCAATCATAATTTGAATGTTGGTGTACGATTTTAAATTAAACCAGATCTGTCTTGTTTTAGGAGTGTATATCAAAAGGTTCCTATTGAGCATGCCAACAATCGCTCAGGCGTGTACCGAGTTTTAATCCATCCGCGGTTGCCTGGTGACGTATACATGGAAAAGTGAGTTATTATAATACAGTGTATATTATAAAGTACATGTATCTTGTGAAAAAGAAAAAGAAGTTTTTTTGCACCCCTAGTAATATTCTAGGCTGATACAAGGGCTTGCTTAATTTTACTTTTAAGTTAAAAATGGCATAATAANTCTTCTGAATATTATTTTGGGATGGCATACACTCACAAGTTACCAGTAGATACAAATGCAACTAAAATTAGTCCTCATTACCGTTCAGTTAGAGCGCATAAATAACAAGCTGATCCGCGGACTAAATATGACCGACTGTTGCTGTTGGCTGTTTTAAAAGCACTGTTATATCAGAGTGAAATAAGCAGGGGTGGACCCAGGATAAATTGAAGGGCGTGGGGTTGGGGGCCCGCTTAAGGACCCCATAAAAATGGTATTTTAGAGGGCAAAAAGTGCCATTTGGAATGGTTTAGAGCTATGATTCAGCTAGTCAAAATTATAATTTCAAGACGGGGCCATTGGTGTGATTTTATTCAGAATTCGAAGGGGGGTGGGGAGGTCAGGACCCCCCTAACCCCCCTCTAAATCCGCCATTGATAAGCCCCTGGTAAGGGCGACAGATGGTTGTTTTGGATAAGGGGTAGAGTTTACAGCCTCTCCCGCCAAAATCACAACGCAATCATAATTTGAATGTTGGTGTACGATTTTAAATTAAACCAGATCTGACTTGTTTTAGGAGTGTATATCAAAAGGTTCCTATTGAGCATGCCAACAATCGTTTGGGCGTGTACAGAGTTTTAAACCATCCGCGGTTGCCTGGTGACGTATACATGGAAAAGTGAGTTATTATAATACAGTGTATATTATAAAGTACATGTATCTTGTGAAAAAGAAAAAGAAGTTTTTTTGCACCCCTAGTAATATTCTAGGCTGATACAAGGGCTTGCTTAATATTACTTTTAAGTTAAAAATGGCATAATGATTTAAAAATGACAAAAAAAAAAAAAAAAAAAAAAAAAAAAAAAATTTTAAATCCATCTTACTCGAACCAAAACAAGTAGCCTACATGTGCTTTTTAAATATGCTAGTACATGTTGTATCCAGTACTTATTCGACCTGCTAATCACTAACTATTTTAATAGTGTTTTTTTCAAGAGTTTTTAAAGTAAAGTGATTCGAATTCCCGGTGACTTATAATCATATTTGCCTTCTTGAAATTCTGCATAAGCCCACTCATTTTCAATCATTAAGCAAATGTTTTATTTCGTTCTTAAATGATTATTATTAAAATAATTTAAAGGTCTTCCATTCTTCTGGTTTATATCCATATAATATAATTTTTTTTTTTATGGAATGTGAGTCGACGGACTTAATACATTGAACTACATCCTACTAGCAACAGAGAATTTTCGCTTGGTCCCACTCTCGTTGTTTTTGCATACCCATTGCCATATATTCTGCAGAATTTCCAATGCTGCATAGCTTCCGTTGTATAATGATCGCCATTGCAAATAATTCATAGAGGTCCCATGCTCCAGTTTGCACCGAAACTGTATAGGCACTACGGGCCTTGGGACAGTGGACTTAGTACGTTGAATTACACCCTATTAGCAACAGAGTATCGACCAACATACACTTGGATCAAATTTAATGTTGATCAGACCAGCATGATGAAGGTACGTAAGAACAGAACCTAAATCTTAAAAAGCATACAGCAGATCAGGATGGATCGAGTCTCTATAATGATATATTGTTTTTTAAATGGTGCAGAATTTTATATAAATTTTACCAAATAAAATTTGAAGCGGTCTTTTCTGCACAGATATAAATTATAAGAGTTTCCTGTCCTTGTATACATTACCTTGTGTCAGTTATAGCTTATTTTATCAGCAATATGCGTGCGAACGTGCATGCGCGCGTGCGCGAGAGAGTCCTAACGTCCAACCTTTTGTTTCGCAGACGTAATTGGACGTGACGTTGAGTAGAATTTATATTTTGTAAACGAACTAAACCCCGCTCTTTTTTTAATACGTCGTATGCACTTCCAGAACGTGTGGAAAGGCATAATGGACGCCAGGTTTGACAGAACGGCCAATAGTACATACTGGAAAATTAACGAGCAACGGGCTTTCCAAATGTTTCCGAAGTAAGTGAACAAATGCTAGTTAATTTAAATGTGAAATTCTGATGAGAATATTTACATGAAATAGTGCCAAAATTGGCCAAATTTAGAACAATAATTTCTATGTTTATCCTTGTTAACGCAAATACTCTTGTCAGCATTAATTTAGATCGAGGAGCCATAAAGTGTTTGAGCTTGGTTTGAGCCTGCGATGCATACAGTATGCCAAAAATAACTGTTTCTTTTGCTCACCATTCATAAACCCATGAATCCGTTAGTATATTTGCAAGATTCATGACAATTGTCATGTGTTATTTTGTGCATTCTTGATAAAGATTTCTAAATTTTGATTTTAATTTTATTTTTCAGAACTGAGTGGAAAGGCGGAAAGGGGAGGTAGAAAAAACAGAAAACAAAGAACCCTAATTCTCACGTACATTATATTACAAATGACTTCTTGATCTTCCCGTCTGACAATGTTCTTTCAGTTTAGAACATCACTAAAAGATGCTGTCCTTTAAATGCTAAGGCTGGATATTTTTAGACCTTTCTCTTTTTTTTAACCAGTTCGAAAACTACTTCTTTCAAAGGGTCCAAAAGGTTTCTAAGGAATTTTTATCCATCTGTTTTTGCTCATTTTAACAAAAGAAAAAATAGAATTTTAGCAACCACAGTGTAACCTTGAATACTTTACCCGAATAGCATTTTATACATTTTATCCCAATAGAAATTCAGTTTCCGTTATGTGTGAGAATACAGTAATTTTTCTTAAATCAACGGTTAAATTCTAAAATTGATATTCATTCCCTGATAAAGGTGCTCTGATGGACATAGAAATATTCATCCCTGACCGTTATATGTGAATTTTGAATCTGTACATTAATGGCTGAATAAACCCTTTTCTAATGAAGTACATGTGCTCTTATATTCACATACTTTTATCCATGAATTGGTTTATACTTCTTTTGGGCATTGGCTCCTAAGGTCACTGCCACGCGGAGACGGTAATTTTCCCTGAATTTGAAGAAAATTGATTTATTATTATTGTTTTTATTATTATTTTAATTATTATTATTATCAATTAGATTTGACCAAAAGACTTTATGTGTAACATAAAGATGTTAGCTAGAGCACCAGAAATAACTTTGCCGGGTTTTCACTGTTTTACTATTTTGTAAAAATAAAGTGCATAGGAAAGAACATTGCAGCGTTCGACTATTCGGCCTACAGAAGTGGCAACTCGACTGTGACGTACATTTTCAAATGCGTATTACAATTTTTAAAGAAAGTAGATTTTGCACAAAAAGAATATTTTGCGAGTAGCTAATAATACGAATTTTACATATGTATAAAAAAAAGTTTTGAATTAGCGGGGTGCTCGACATCCGTGAGTAATTACCGTAATTTAATTGTATACAAGGTGTCCAGAAGTGCACCGCCATTGCTTGTCAACAAACGCACGTTGCCCCGGTGGTGACGTACGTAAATGAATATATTTCAAGGCGTAACTGGCACGAGGAGGGCACATTAAATATACATATACTAATTGTCCCATTTGTAGCATTGTATTCTGCCCTGATAATAAGGCTGTTGCCAACATTTACATAAAAATATGTGCATTAACAATGTAATCATAGCATTTCATTTTGCGTGGTCTGATTTAGATGGGTCTCCGAGGGTTTGATCAATGTGTATTTGTGTGTTTTATACATTGTGTTTTTATGTCAGTTTAGTTCCGTTTTTGAATTAACTTTCAGTATTTTTTTATGGATTAAAACTGCAAAACCAGGGGGTTTAATTTGTGGAAAAAAGTGGCAAAACACTCCCTTTTCTTTCTAATTACGTTCTCAGTGTTTATTGATTTTTTTTTAGTTTTTTCTTATCAAAATGTTACAAGATGTGCAGTTAATTTACATTAAATAGGAGATAGAGTAAGACAGAGAGTGAGAGAGAGAAACAGACGTAACATGGAGTTCTATGACTGGACCGTTACTTTGCTGGGTATCGACCTGCAATCACTATCAATTTTAAAACTCTGAAACACAGACGAATTTTTTTCATTTTTAGATAATTATTGTTTACTGGCTTTTCGCAATTTTGCAATTGTGTTGTGTAACTACAATGCTGCATATTTTGGTATATACGGAAAGGGCATATGCTCCCGACCAAAAAAAAAAAAAAAAATAGTTCGGAAACATGGAATTGTTTTTCATTAATTAAAAAACTATGTAAAGTAGTGAGCAAAGCTGTATATAAAAGCGTAATGAATGGTGGGTGCATCAATATTTTAAAAATTATTTACCTTAGCTAATATGGTTATTTTATAATTATTCAAAATAACGATCTTTCTGAACTGTCAAAAAATAAATGTCTAACTTTTAAACACCGTACATACTCCCTAGACTCATCTCAATACGCACTTTGGTCGAATGGTCAAGTATTTAAGGCGTTCACACCAAATATAATACATTCAATTTACCACAATAGAAGAAAGGACTTGAAGGAAATGAAAATGCTAGTTTGAAGCTATCGGGTGCATTACAGAAAGAAAACGTCCTCATAAAATACTGCATAAAAACACTAGGAGTGGTCTAGCGTTAATCTATAACGTGAGCGTACCAACACAAATCATTCTTCTTTGCGGTTTATGATTTAATTTGACAGGCGGACCTTGTGACAGAAACTCATGATTGACGGTTTCCATATCATTAGAATTTTCTCTTTTAAATTTTTGAAAGTTCAAATCCATAGGAGACACCCTGAGCCTCAGAATCTCTCCCATATGATATTATCGACAAGTCAGCGGTTATTCCCGAGGGATGGGCTAAGTTTTGAGGATTGTGAGAAATATAAGTCCACCACCACCCCACCCCCGCGGGATTCATCAGGGCCACCTTTATTAGTATACAGGGTAACACAATTATATATATGGCAATAAGTACGGGGTCAATTCACGTAGGGTCAGGCTTCATGAATGACAATTGCCTTTTGAGATCTCGCGACAAGTGTTTTTACGTTTGCCCCATGAAATCGCCGTTTGAGTCCTTAATTCGGCGTTCGTGATCACCAACCCGTGACTCAAGATCGCAAACGGCAAATAGGCCTACGTTTGTAAGGCCTGATGACACCCTGTTTTAGCCATTTAGTGTCCCAGATGTTGCGTGTAACTAATATAGTATAAACATGGTAGGTCGCATAGTGAATCGTTGATTCTCGGGGTACCTGCTACATAACATAGACCCTGTTACACGAGACTGGCGAGAGCTTGGGGGGCTGATTTCGGCTTGCTCTCACAAATATGTAACAAAATAAAAAGCTGTTACATTTTTAGTGAGGTAATTATGAATCTCAATGAAGATGAATGAATTTGGTGTTTTTTGTCAAAGCCACAATTTTGAAGGCGGGGAGCTTGCAAAAATTTGTTCTGATCGGTTGCAAACCCGGTAGTGGAAAGACTTGTCAGTTGAGATTTTTAGCCTCAATATTTGCAGTGCAGCACCACAAATTTACATATATTCAAAATAATATGCAGAAACATGCTTTACCACAATAAAGGACTACGTATAACAACTTGATGACTTTTTGATTTGCGTAAATTGGCAAAATAATTTATGATTTAGTGAGGTAATCGTGAATCTCACTGAAGCAGAGAGAGAGAGAGAGGGAGAGAGAGAGAGATTGCAAATAGGGCCTAGCGTTGTCGGGTCTTGACAAAATTGTTGCAGTTCGAACATAAGTCATTGGGCTATATAATACACCCTTTCCACCACATTCTTTGTAATACCCGCACTGTGCTGACCATTTTACGGTGGAAGGGCGGGGGGAAAGAGGATTCAAATCGAGCAACTTTTCATAACAATAACGGAAGGGGGGGGGTTAGGTTCTCTCTTTACAATCAGATTTTTTTCTAGAGGAGAGAAAGAAAATTGGGGAGGATTTCAATCAAGAATACTAGTATCTTGGGGACTACTACAATGTTTGTTAAACCCGTCTGAACGCGACCTTGTAAACATAACATTACACTACCATTTTTATTTCCTATTTCATATAAAGTGGGTGTAGTCAAGCGACTACGATATGAAGTCGGACGTGGAGGAGGGGGGGGGGGCTAAAACGGGTGTGATAGGAATGGCAGTCC